TCTTGCTGTTACCAACCTTGACTTTACCTCCCCGTCGCATCACCAGATTTCACTGTTTCCAGGCCTCATTTACCACTCCACACGGGTGGTGTGTCCACCGGGCAGGGTGACTTGGAGCACTGTGGTGGGATTCTGTCCCAAGCTGACAGACTCTGGACGACTCCGGCCTCCGGAGTCACCTCTGACTGAGCTTGGTTCTGGCCTGGCTCCTTTTCCAGCAGATGGATGCCTTGCCTTCCTGTGTGCTGCCGCCCCGTCATGGTCCCCCCGAGCTCCTCTGCCCACTGCCGGGGTTGGAAACCAGCCTCAGGGGTGTCGGGCCCCTGGGCCCCATCGACCCTCCTCCCCAGACGGAGGGAACTGTTTGAGATCTCTGTCTGAGACCCTGTGGACCTCGACCCCGCCTCCGTGGCCAGCCCAGGGGAGGGCAGCACATGGCTGCACAGACAGAGCTTCCTCCAGAAGCATGTGGTGGGTGGCGAGGCCTCCATCACGTGGAAACCTTCCCCAGAGGCGTGGCGGGCTCTTCTGATGTGCTGTGTGCACGCGTCACCCAGTCGGCTTTCCCTCTAGCCGACCGAGTCCGGCCGGGCCCTCTGTGCCTGGGATCAGCCCCGCTCGGGTATCTTCTGGCCTCCACGACCTGGAAAGGTGTGCGTCCCTTTCCAGTGTATGATCTGTAGCCTCGGGTTCTGGTGCAGGCAGTGGGGTGGTTGGGAGTGCCCCGGGGAACAAGGCCTGAGCCGGCACCTTCGAAGGTAAAGGGGATGTGAGCGGAAAGGACTGTGCTGCCTGGGTGGACTGGCCACTCAGTGACCCCAGACGTGGAGGAGCCATTTCCTGGCCTGCCCCCACCCCGCCCTGTTGCTGGTTCTTCCTGGGGCTCGGCAGAAGACCAGTTTCAGGATGGGGTGATGGGCGGGGCGGGGCCTACCCCTGACCTCTCTCTGGCAGCTGTGGGGCCCTGGGCTTCTGTCCGCCCCATCGGGACATGCCTGTCGCTGCCCTTTCTGCCAGAGCCCTTCTGGGGCGGGACGCTGGGTGCAGGCCTCACTGCTGCAGGCATCCGTCCCCGGGGCAGTTGTCTCCCCACAGTGCAAAGAGCGTGAACCCTCCACCACGTCACGTCCCTGGAAGGAAAAACAAGAATGATTGAGTGGGTTAAAAATAGAGACGGACTTGGAATTAATTAGACTCTTTAAAAACAGATTAGGCGCAATGACTGTCAGCAAGTCAACTGCTAAGTGATGGGGCTGCGCGGCCAACGCGGGGCAGGACTGGAGCGAGCGTGGGCATGAGCTCAGAGGGCAGGTCAGGGCTGGGCTCTTGCCCGAGCCCCTCACCGCACCCGCCATGCACCCTGCAGCAAGCACAGTGACCAAGGCCCATGCCGCTAGAACCCCACAGGGTCGCAACAACAACCCTGTGAAGCCACGGGGAGTCCCGCACCCGGTAGGCACTCGGGTGGGGGTCCTGGGAGGGGTGCTGCCCTTCTCGTTGAGGGGCCTCCCCCGTGTCAGGGTCCTTCTTACGAGCTCACAGTCGGGTGTGGAGCTGGCCTGGCTGAGGGGTGGTGGTGACTGCCTGGTGAGTGGGCACCCAGGACAGCTCCGTCCTGGCCTCCGCCCCCTGGTAACCCCCTAGAAGGCCCCCCTCATTCCAGACAGCTCCTTCCTCCAGGCTGGCTGCCTCCCTGCACCCCAGACATCTCAGGTCCTCCCACCCTGCTGCTCCCTCTGCCTTTGCCAGTGCAGGACCGCTCCCCTCTCCTTCCCCACCTGCCCCACCCCGTGGGGGTGCAGTGCCAGGAAGAAGATAAAATCAATGCATAAGATGGAGAGTGACAGGTGGGCTCTGGGGCAGCTCCTAAAGTCAGAGCAATCAGGGGAGGCCTCCTTGGGGCGGTGACACCCCCTGAGACCTGAGTGGAGGGCGGGGGACGGAGGGGATGTGCCCCAGGCAGTAGGTCCAGCAAAGGCCAAGTTGTCAGGCTTTTTAACCTGGGCTGTTTCGATGGCGGGAAGTGGTATCCACAGTGGTGTCACTCTGTGTGGCCTTGAGGATCAGTGATCAGTGATGTTGACCATCTTTTCATGTGCTCCTTTGCCACCAGCCTGTCTTCTTTGGTGAAGCGTCTACTGTATTCAAACCTTTTGCTGTTTCTTTCATTTGGGTTTTTCCTTACTGAGTTTTGAGCATTCTTCATTCATTCAGGGGTCCTTTATCAGATATAATTTGCAAGTATTTTCTCCCAGGCTGTGCATTGTCTTCTCATTCCGAGTATCTTTTGAAGAACAGAAGTCTTTAATTTTGGTGAAGTCCACAATTTGTCAACTTTTTTCTTTCCTGGATTGGATTGCAATTTTGGTGTCATATCTGAGAATTATTTTTATGACCTCAGATCACAGAAGTTTTTCTTCCATTCTAGAAGCTTTATACTTTCTGTTTTTACATTTATGTCTATAATCCATTTGGGGCTAACTTTGTATATGGTGTGAGGTATGGATCAGAGTTTTATTTTGTTTTGCATAATGAAAGCCAATTGCTTCAGCCTGATTTGTTGAGAAAGCCCGTCCCTTCCCCACTGAATTGCCTTTGCACCTTTGTCAAGTCAGTTAGCCATATCATGTGGGTTTATGTCTGGACTGACTCGTCTGTTTTGTTCATCTGTCTGCATGGACATCAATATCACACTGTATTGATTATGGTAGCTTTATAATGAGCCTCAAAATCAGGCAGTATATATCTACAACTTTCTCTTCTTTTTCAAAGTTGTTTCGGTTATGCTGGGTCCTCTATATTTCATGTGAATTTTAGAACCATGTTGTCAATTTATAGGAAAAACAAAAGCAATAACAAAAACAAAGACTTCTAGGACTTTGACTGGAATTTTGTTGAATCTACAGATCAACTTGGGAAGAATTAACCCCTTAATAATATCAAGTCTTCCAATTCATGAACATAGTGTATCTCTCCTTTTATTTATGTTTTTAATTCTCTCAGCAAAGTTTCATGGTTTTTACTGTAGAAGTCTTGCACATCTTTTTTCAGGTCAGATTTCTCTCTAAGTATTTTATATTTTTGACACTATTGTGAATTATATTGTCTTTTAATTTCAATTTCCAATTGTTCGTTGGTAATATCAGGAGATGTAATTGAGTGTTGTAAATTGGTCTCGTCTCCTGCAACTTTACTAAACTCACTTCATTAGTTATAGTAGTTCTTATGAAGATTCATCAGATATCCTATGGATGATGATGTCACCAGTAAAAAAAAGCTAATTTTATGTCTCCTTTTCAATTGGATATTGTTTACTTCTTTTTCTTGCATTTTTGCCCTGGCAAGGACCTCTAGTACAATGTTGAATAGAAAATCTGACACAGGTTATTTTTGCCTTGTTCCTGATCTCAGAGGGAAAACATTTACTACCTACTGTTGGCTGTAGGATTTTCATAGGCACCTTAAGCAGGTTCAGGAAGTTCTCCTTTATCACCAGTTTGCTGAGAGTTTTTATCAAGAATAGATGGGTTTTCTGAAATGCTTTTCCTGCATATTTTGGGATGATCATATCATTTTTATTTTTTAGTCTGTTAATGTGATAAACGACATTGATTGATATTTAGATGTTGAGTTAATCTTACATTCCTGGGATGAACCTTACTTGGCCACTACGTATTACCCTTTTTATGTATTGTTGGCTTTGATTTGCTAAAATTTTGTTAGGAATTTTGCATCTGATGGTGAATAAGTCAGGCAGCAGTTTTCTTTTCTCTTAATGTCCTTTTCAGGATTGGGTATCAGAGCAAAGCTGAGAGCCTAGGGTGAGTTGGGGACCATTCCCACTTCTTCAATTTTCCAGAAGAGTTTGTGTAGAATGGGTACTATTTTTGCCTTAAATATGCGTTAGAACTCACCAGTGAAGCCATTTGGGCCTAGAGTTTTCATGGGGGGGGAGGGGTTTAAACTACAGTTTCAATTTCTTCGCCAGACATAGGTTTGTTCAACTGCCCATTTCTTATCCAGTGCGTGGAAGAGTTTATTCACATAGTCCTCAGTCCTTGCTCCGTCCGTCCTCTTGACACCCCCTCAGCCAGGCTGATACCAAACAGCTGGGCGATGGTCCTCTGCCTGGAGTCCCAGGGCTCCCTATGGTCCCGGCTTCTGGGGCCCAGGCCACCTGCCCCAGCCCCTGCCCCGTGGCCGGCTCCTTGCACCCTGACCAGTGTCAACTTTCTAGATGACCTCCACACTCTCCTCCCTCGGGTCACCGCCCCCAGCCTGCCTGCCATGACGTCCCTCCCGTCACCGTGTGCCTTTGATGAAACTCATGGGGAGCTTTGCCCAGTGGCCCTGTTGAGTGCCGCGGCTACATGTCCTTGCCATCCCTGTTTCACAGATTTGAAACAGAACCCCTCAGCGGGGGCAGTCCCTCTCATTTGTCTGACTCCGGTTTGGGGGCCAACTGCAGGACCCCTGGGCCCATTCCCAGAGCCCAGCCTCGAGTCTCACATCTGTGATGGTCCATCCTCCCGGCACCCACACCACCTCCCTTGGGCTGGGCAAAGCATACCTGTCCTAGCTTGAGTGAAAATAAGGGGCTGCCAAGGTTTGGAAGGCAGCTGGCCAAGTAGGACACCCTAGGGTTTGGAGGGGGACATCGGGGCTCTCATCCGGTCACTCACATCCTGGGTTCTCTCCTTCCAGCTCCTGCCCCTGCAGTGGACCTCTTCTGGGCCACTGCCCCTTAGCACGGTGCTGGCAGCTGTCCAGCCCAGCTTCCGTAGCAGGGTCCTTGCACTCATCCCAGCCCGTGTGTGCGGTCTGGATGTTTGTGGCTTCAGGGGGCCACCCTGCGGGGGCAGCTCCAAGGGAGGGGGCTGGTGGAGTCCAGGCCTGCAGTACTGGGCCTCCAGGTGCGACCGTCCTGCCCTCCCTCCCTGCAGCCCCGTGGCCTTCGTGTCCTTATTCTGCCTGGCTCCCTGCTCCTTGAGCATCTGGAGCCTCCACAGTGCAGGGGTGGAAGCCGGGGCTTTGAGCGGTGTGCTTGGTAAGTGCTGACCCCTCCTCAGGATGCGGGGGGCAGCCTGGCTGCTGCCCGGGGCCCCAGCAGCACCCTAAAGGGCTTGTCTCCTCCACCCCTGGGGCCAGGAGAATCCCCTTCTGAATAGCCACTTCCCCAAGCAGAGCCTTTGCTCCTGTCTTCATGGAGGCAGACACAAGAAAACAGGTTTAAATTGCTGAGTGTGGCACAGCAGGGAGGCCCGGACGCTGTCTGCAGTCCATCACCCATGGCTTTGTTCGCCAACCACGGACCCTTCTGTTCTCAGAGCTTTTAAAAGCAGCAAAAGTTGGGGCGTCTGGGCGGCTCAGTCAGTGAAATATCTGCCTTCGGCTCAGGTCCCAGGATCGAGCCCCGCGTTGGGCTCCCTGCTCAGCGGGGAGTCTGCTTCTCCCTCTCCCTCTGCTCCTCCCCTGCTCATGCTCTCTCTCTCTCTCAAATAAAATCTTTTAAAAAAAAAAAAAGGCAGCAAAAGCTCAGGAAAGGTGTGCAAGTTACGACAGCAGAAGGGAACACAGGTCCCCTCTGCTCATGCCACAACCACCACGCATGTTTATAAAACACACATCTATTTTTTGCAGATCTGTGTTTCCTGGCTTTTCTAGAGTATACGCATATTGCACCTGTATTAGGGAATGATGTAAAGATCAGGCTCCCATAGACCAACCGTGGGACCTTCTCCAGAGTGGGGCTGTGCTGTGCCCCCAGAGGAGCCAGACCATGGCCCCCACCCTCCCCGTGGAAGGGGAGGTGGCACAGGGCCAGGTAGCACCCAGGTGAGGGCAGCGAGCCCAGAGGGAGGGGAGAGGCCCACCAGGAGGAGCTGCAGGTATCAGCAGGTGTTTTGGGGCCCTGCCCGGCTCCGCAGCAGCCCCCACACCCCACAGCCCCAGTTTTGGGAGTTGTCTCCTGGGGGCTGTCGGAGACAGAGCTGTAGTCTCACAAGTGGACAAAGCTGGACGGGGTGGGTGTGTCAGGGCCTGCGGATACACGGGACCCCCCCAGGGCAGCTGTGGGGTAAATGGAGGGTTGCCATAGCAACGTGGGAGGCACCAAGGCATCAGGAGCTTCCCAGCCTGGGAGGAGGACGTGCACCTTGTTTCGCAGACCCTCCTTGGGTCCCAGCAGGCTTGGGGTAACTCCAGGCACTGTGGACATGCATGCTGCCAGGCTCTCCCTTCCTCTGGACTCCAGGGGGACTGGCCTCGGTGGGCCTGTGTCTGGGGAAGCAACTCTGAGGGACCCAGGTGCACCCTGCTGCCCAAGGCCACCCCGTCTGTCAGTCATCAGGCTGGGAGGGCTCAGCGAGGGCCGCGGGCACCAGGCAAGGGGTCTACTCTCTGTCCTCCCTGATTGGGGAAGCCACAGGTTCCTGGAACTTCCTTTGTCCTCGGGGCTCCGCAGCACATCCTTTGGTGACGAGGGGGTTCACCGAGGCTTCCTGGCTGTCCCCCATAAGCGTTGTAGGGGCATTTGAGCTCCTGTATCCTTCTGGATGGACATCATCCATAGTGATGACCAGAGGATATTTCCAGGAATCCCCATCCCTGAGCGCATGGGCGTCTAGGAGCCTGGCACATGGCCTCAGGCGGTGTGGGGTCCGCTGTGTCACAGTGGGGCTGCATTGGGCGTGACATGCCCACTGAACAGCGTGGGGCAGATCCTCAGCCACTCCTGGGCTGGGCCCTGCTTGATGCCCATCTCGTGGGAAGTCCTGCGGCTTATGGAGCCTTTACCAGAGGCCCGGCATAGCCCCCTTCCGAGTGTGATCTCCCTCTATTCCCACTTACAGAAGTGAACACTGAGGCCCAGGGACAGAGAGCAATTTGCCTACATTCACAAGGCTGGACCAGGGTGGAGCCAGGAGCCTTACAGGGCACCGTGTGTCCAGTGAGGGATGGGGGTGTGAACAAGAACCTCAGAGCACACCCTCACGTGTGGCACGCAGAGACCACTGCTGTTTGTGTGGTCACGGGAGCCCGAGTGCATGGACTCTGGTGTCACACTTGTCCCCAGCCACATGCACCCCCACGGCTGTGACGGTCTCCCCCTGCCCCCAAGGGCCCATGCCTGAGTCCCGGCCCTCACCCCTGCCAGTGGGGACCAGGCTCCCTCCCAGTGGTGTCGGGCAGGCTCACCCCTCCCCAGGTCTGGCCAGCAAGCTCGGCTGGGAACGGGACTCTGCCCAGGACGGATGCACTGAAACCAGGGTGGGGAGCGGGCTGGCTTCAGCCTGGTGAATTGCGGCATCTCCCTGCACGAGGGTCTCTCTTTAGCATGTCCACACCTGGGATCTCATTTTTAAATCTTTTCACATAAGATTAAAACACGACACGATTCATTTTTAAAGGAATGCACAGATAATAGGCAAATGTATGACATCTTTTGAGAAAGACAAGGCCGCAGCATGACACGTGCTAGAGGTGGGCTTGTGTGAAGGGCAAGCAGAGTCAGGCCTGGCTGCCGGGGGGGCCGCGGTGGGGCCAGGCCGCAGTCAGGGACCTCAAAGGAGGAGACGTGAGAAGCCTGCTTGGGGCAGGAAGGATGTGCGAGGTGTGAGGCGGCTGCTCGTCACAGGGGACCCTCGGTCCTGTCGCTCTGTCCCTCTCTGTCCCTCTGTCCCTGCTCGGTCACTTTGGAGGAGTGTTCGGTCTCCCGGACCTCTGTGTCCTGCGTAGCCGCTGTCCTTGGGGGGGGTACTGTGCCCTGTTCTGAGTGCGCACTTACACACACGTGCACACGCACGCTCACGCACACACACGGATGCTCTCACACAGGCACACTCAGACACGCACGCTCACACACGGATGCTCTCACACAGGCACACTCAGACACACGCACGCTCACACACGGATGCTCTCACACAGGCACACTCAGACACACGCGTGCACACGGACACTCACGCGCACACACGGATGCTCTCACACAGGCACACTCAGACACACGCACGCTCACACACGGATGCTCTCACACAGGCACACTCAGACACGTGCACACGGACACTCACGCGCACACACGGATGCTCTCACACAGGCACACTCAGACACACGCGTGCACACGGACACTCACGCGCACACACGGATGGTCTCACACAGGCACACTCAGACACACGCATGCTCACGGACACTCACACACACACACACGGATGCTCTCACACAGGCACACGCGTGCACACGCATGCTCACGGGCACTCATGCACACACATGGATGCTCTCACACAGGCACACTCAGGCACACATGCACACACACGCTCACGGACACTCATGCACACAGACGGATGCTCTCACACAGGCACACTCAGACATGCGTGCACACGCATCCTCACTGACACACACGTTCACACTGATGCTCTTACAAGGCACACTCAGACACGCGTGCAAATGCATTCTCACAGACACGCACGTGCACACACTGGTGCTCTCACAAGGCACAGACACGTGTGCACATGCATTCTCACGGACACACACGCGCAAACACTGATGTTCTCACAAGGCACACTCAGACATGCGTGCACACGCATTCTCACGGACACGCACGCGCACTGAGGCTCTCACACGGGCACACTCAGACACATGTGGGTGCACATTCACACAGACGCACACACACCCGCACTCAAGCCCCCCCATGGGAGGTTTAATGGGTGGGGAAGGTGTCTTGGCTCCCCCTCCCTAGCACAAATGGGGACCCCAGGCTCCCCACCGGCAGGGCTGTGGGTGGCCCCAAGATGCTGAGGGGGAGCAAGACTCTGCCAGGGGCCCCTGCACTCGAGGCAGAAGCATTACCCCCCACCCCAAGGCGCCAGGCAGCCCCACGCGGCTCTGCCCTCTGCCCCACCTCCAGCGCCCCCCTTGCTGCCGGAGGCCGCAGGTGCCAGGCAGGACCCTCACACACGCACTCCTCCCTCCCCTCGGTGCTCCCACGTCCACTGCACAAATTGTGGGATGAACGCAGCAAACACCTACTGGCAAAGCAATTTCCCTAGAGGCTTAAACATTGATTATGAGCTCAGACTCCCTTAAGCGATTCGAGCCATAATTATATGTTTCGTGTGACGCCCCTTTGCCTGACAAGCTCCAGCGGGCTTCGTTGGTGGGAACCAGCCGTGTCCTCCGTGCCAGGACAGCCCCGCCTCTGGCCTGCATCTCATGCTTGTGCACTGACACCCCCCACGTGTGATCGGTCTTTTCTCTCTGGACCCATTGGTAGGAGATTCTACTGCGCATTCTGTCCCTGAGGAACAGTTTCCTGGGCCCAGCAGGTGAGAGACGGACCTGGGGTTGGGTCGTGGGTTCTGTGCCCAGATCCGCTTCCCAGGCAGCAGGAGCAAACTGTCGCACGCAGAGCTTCAAACAACAGGAACGTTCCAGTCTGGGAGGCCAGAAGTCCAAAATCAAGGGCCATGCTCCCTCTGGAGCCCCCGGGGAGGGGCCTTTCTGGCTGTCGGGGCTCCTGGGGCTCCCAGTGTTCCAGGGCATATGGCCACGTCCCTCAGTCTCTCCTCCGTCCACACCCAGCCTCTTCTCTGTGTGTCTCCTCTGCTCTTCTCAGAAGGACCCTCGTTGTGGGAGTTAGAGCCTGCCTGGACAGTCCAGTCGCAGGTCCTGGGGGTTTCGGGTGGACGCATCTTTTGGGGGCTCTCCCACTCCTCCCAGCGGAGCTGTTGCATCAGATGCGGCTTCATGGGGGAGGAAGCAGACAGCATTCCGAAGCTGTGAGGTATGAGAAGGCTCTGCTGGTGGCTCCTTTTCCTGAATCCCATCTAGCGTTCCAGACATAGAGAAAGCGTTTATTCCCACAGAGAGCCCACGTCTCGTTCTCCCCTGCATCTAATGAATTCAAACTCTTTGTTCAACGGATATAGATTGGGAGGTTGGTGAGGGGCGGGGCAGGGGGGCTGCCTTCGACGCTGGGCATACAGCAATGAACAGAAGAGAAGTTGCTGCCAGGCCAGCCTTGCATTCTCCCCGAGTAAGACAGAGTCAGCACACACATGCCAAGGCAGAATGCTGAGTGTCCCAAGTTGCACAATGCAGGGTAAGGGCAGGAAGAGAGCAGTTGGCAGGGCGAGGGGGTGGTGGTTCTGTTTGTGGTCAAGGAAAGGCCTTCCAATGGAGCATAACAAGCAGAGGCATCTAGGTCTATCTAGAAAAAGAGCATTCTGGGCCCAGTGACATCTGTGCAAAGGTCCTGTGGCCAATAGCATGTTTGGCTTCTCTGAGACAGCAAGGAGGAAGTCTGAGAAGCATAAGTAAGTGGAGGGTGCGGGAGGGGAAGTTGACAGAGAGAGGTCCAGACCATGCCAGGCCCCATAACCTTCGGTAAGGATTTTTGCTTTTACTTGGACTAACTGGAAAGCAGGGGTGGAAGGTTGCAACAGAGGAGAGACAAGTTCTGACTTTTGTTTGAAAAGATTCTCTGTCCTGGGCCTTCGGTAATCTTGGTAGGAGCTGCAGCACCTTGGGGTGGCCCCTGGCATGTCCAGGGGAGTTTAGGCCTGGCAAATCCTGAGTGCTGGGCTCCTCTGAGGCCGAGGGTGAGTCCTGTCTCCATGAGTCATGCGAGCTAGGCAGGGCTCTGCAGGAGCCCTGGGGCCTGGCCTCTGAACACAGTCCCCAAGCTGTCAGCCTGCTGGCTGGGCGGTGCAGGGGAAGGGGCAGGCCCTGGCAGAGGCTGGTGCATGGGGAAACAGGGGCCTCCCAGTAGATGTGAGTGCCCCTCTGTCCACAGAGGGTCCAGTGCCCGCTGTTGGCCGGTCTGTCTAGCAACTGTCTGTGGACAATCAGCACCCTTCCAAAGGGGTGGTCCTGGGCAGTGCCCAGACAATGGCCATGCTTGTGGGCCCTAGGGGCCGGGCAGACCCAGACAAGACTGGGGCTCAGGTCCCAGCTGAGATCCCAGCTTCTAGCTCCGGTGGTCTGTTCTTTTGTTCTCCTAAGCCCTTTGAACCCGACTTTCTGCCTAGGATCCGTGCCTGTGGAGTTTTGTGTCTCTCTCTCCACTGACCCCTCCCGACCCCCGCTCGGCCAGAGTCTCAGGCTCCATGGCCTCAGCTGTCTGTGGTGTCGAAGTTTTGGTGTGCAGGCCGCTGCACCAGTGTCCAGGAAGACATCCCAGTCTCCGGGGCATTGAGCTGCGGGGCTGGGGCTGCAGGGCTGAACCCCAGGGGTGCCCCCAGAGCCACTCCTACCTGCACCCAGAGACAGACTTCCCACCACAGGCAGGGCTGTGGTGCCATCTGCTGCCAGAAGCTCTGCCTTTCTCCTCAAAATCACAAAAGTAATACTTGCTCACAGAAGACACTTGGGAAAAGACTAATTTATCCGTAGTCCTGCTATTCAGATAAATGTGATATTAATGCCTAGATGATCTTTCCCCATGTCTCACTAGGTACATGTGAGATCTCTAATTTTATAATACTGCTTTTCATTCAGTATGTTAACGTTTCCTCATCTGACGATCCTTCTACTAAGTGGAAATTGTATGGATGGGACCTAACTTGTTGAGCCAACCCAGTTAATGGACATTTAGCTTATGAGCTATTTCTTGAATATGAGTTTGCTAGATGATTACAAGAAAAGAATTCCTTTATTTTGTTAAGTGTGCACTTGAGTGGTTTTTAGTGTGATCACAGCTTTGCACACATTTTCGTCACCCCTTAAAGAAACCCCGTGTCCACAAGCAGTCGCTCCCCGTCTCCCTGCCGCCAGCCCCGCCTTCCCATCTCACAGATCTGCCTCCTCTAGACATTGCACAAAAACGGAGTCACACACTATGTGACCTTTCGTGAGTCACTGGGTCACAGCCTCGTGTCTTCTCGCTTCCTCCTTGTCGCGGCGCACGCACAACCTCCTTCTACGGCTGAATAGTATTCCCCTGCGTGGATGGACCACGGATGTTGGCCTGCTTATCCACTGATGGACGCTTGGATTGCGCCCACCTTGTGGCTCTCGAAAATTGTGCTGCTCTGAACATTTGTGAACAGTATTTGTTTGGGTCCCTGCTCCCCAGTCTTCTGGGTAGAGCTGTCAATGATACTGGGGATCCTGAGTGGCAATGGACATGGCCAGCAGTGAAGTCCCCACCTCCTTCCCCTACGTGGCCCCCCGGGGCAGGGACGGGAGCTGGGGGGCAGCCAGGCCCCCGCATTCTCAGGGGCCCCATCCGTGGAAACCGTGCAGCTCAGGAGGAGAGAGCCGTGGCTCATCATACGGGTCCCAGCAGAGCACGGGCACGCCCAGCCCCACCGCCTGCCGGCCGTGGCTGCTCCAAGCTCCAGCGAAATCATAAATGCTCGTAAGCGAATGTTCATCGTGTTAGAGTGCGCCGGCAAAGTGCTCACTCATGCACGCCCTTGGCTGGAGGAAGGGGGCCTGTGGAGCCCTGGGGCCCGGTCAGCCCAGCCTCCCTCTGCACCAGCCGGGGGTGTCACATCTTTGCGCTTCTCAGAGGTCTCCCATCGGGGGTGTACCCCTGCCTAAGACTCGGCAGTTCTGCGCGTTTCTCTGCCGTGTGTCAGGGACCCACACGGCGCGTGAGGAGCTGTGACCGGCTCCCCTCCACCTCTGTCGACTCGGCCCCTGTGCGACCACTGAGCCACCAGGGCCACCGTGAAGATCCAGCCACGTCTGTGGGCCATGTGCGTGTTGTGTGGGCAGCTCCTCTTTCAAGCAGATGGTGCCACGTTTTCCTTCTGAAGTTGTGGCCCAGGCCACTCGGGCCCAGCCATGTCTCCCTCGGAGTGTGGACAGACAGCCTGGGATGCCGTGTGCGCTGAGGCAGGCCTCTGGCGTGGAAAGCAGACCAACTCCCTCCCCGGAAGGAAAAGGAGATGGTGCAGGCAGCTGTTGGCCACGTTTTAAAAATTATAATGAATATTTCCAGACGGATAAAAGGCTTGCATCCATGAAACGACAGGGAGAGCATAAATTAAACCTCAAGGGGAAAGCTGGAAGGGAAAATGGAGAAATTATCCTAGATTGTAGGACAGAGGAGTAGAGAGAGAAGAAAGGAGGGGAGTGATGTAAGACTTGGACGTGCCCCTGCTGGGCCCTCGCAGCCGCAGGGGAGAAGGGAGGTGCGTGTGGTGGCAGGACCCCCGTCTTCGTGACAGAGTCCCACACGTGGGGGCTTAAAACGACAGGAAGTTACCCCCTCACTGTAAGGAGGCCAGAAGTCCAAAATCTGGCAGGGCCACCCCCCCTCATCCAGGGTCCTTCCCGCCTCGTCCAGCTCCCGGGGGCTGCAGGCGCCCCCCACCTCTACACCCTGTCCCACTGCGCCTCCTCTCAGAAGGACACCTGTCACTGGGTTAGGTCCACCCAGTAATCCAAGATGACTTTCTCCTCTCCAGCTGCAAAGACCCTTTACACAAATAAGTCACATTTGCAGGTTCTAGGGGTCCGGGCTTGGGCCCATCTTTTGGGGTCCACCGTTCACCCCGCTGTGTAGGGAGTAAGTAGGTGAATTGAATCCTCTGTCAGAGGAAGCCGGTAGATAAGGTTAATCTGGGAGAGTGAGAAGGGCAGCCCGACCTGAGTGTGCAGCAGGAGAGGGCAGGAGTTGAGCTCAAACTGTGGTGGATGGGGCAGGGGCTGGGTCAGAAGCCAGGCTGTGCGGCGGCCTCATTAGGGGCCGCGTGTGGCTCGGTTCTGAGTCCGGGCAGCTTGGCTCCAGGACAGAGAAAGTTTTCTTCTCACTCGTGGGCTTTCAGGCTCCAGCAGCCCCTGGCCACCCCCCCCGCCATGCACCCTGTATTTCCTTCCTCTTGCAGCGGCTCCACAGACCAGGCCGGGCTGGAGGCCGCCCCCTCGGCCACAAGAGAGAAGATCCGGTCCAGGTTCCACGGCAGCCACGACCTCATCCACCGCCTGTTTGTCTGCATTTCAGGTGCCCGGCTGGGCCTGGGGTGGGCAGGGCCGGGCGGAGGGCGGGGTGCGGGCGATGCCAGGCCCCAGAAGTCTGGGGGCTTCCCCACCATGTCATTTCTTCATCTCCAGCCCAGGGTCAGGGAGAAGGGCTTAATTCCTCAGCAGGTCCCCCAGCTGGGATTGGGGAACCCACGCTCCTGCGGGGGCCTCGGCCGCCCACACGGGGAGGTTCTGCTCAGTTTGTGGTTCAGACTTTAGTGTGTACCCTGCCTAGTTTTGTTTCCCTCTCTGGGGATGGCTACACAGTAGGGGGAGGGGAGGACAGGGAGCCGCCTGTTTTGTCCCCCACCCCCCGGGGGGTGCAGAGGCCTGTGAGCTTTTCTTTAGTTCTGTGTATAAAAGTGTGCACTGCAGCCCCCTTCCCTGCCTCCCACATGCCCTTCCCACCCCCACCTTTGAGGGCTGGGCTCCAGCCGGCCTGCTTGGCGGGAGTGTGGCCCGTGGCCTGGCGGTCCTGCAGAATCAGGGTCATGATGGGGGGGCGAGGGCCCCACAGGCACTGCCGAGCCAGGCCAGGTGGGACCAGGAGGACCTCGGGCGACTCTGAGCTCCAGTTTGCACAGGTTTGTGTCGGGGGTTGGAGGGATGCCATGCCCAGCAGGTGCTCGGGGCATTGCCGGTGCACAGAGAATCCTCTAGAAGTGCTGACTACAGCACTGACTGGGGCGGGTCACTGGGCTCCCATTCCCGGTGGGATGCCCGCAGCTTCTCCCTCACTTTGCTGCATGTGGCAGCCGGGTCCGCCCCCAAAGAGCTAACCCAGCATCGCTTTCGACCTCAGCGGGGGGGGGGGGGTGCTTTCCTGCCAGGGAGGGGCTGTCCGTGTGGTCACTCCCACCACCAGCCTTCCCTGGGCTCCTGAGCCTTGACTTTGGCCAAACTGTGGCCCAGGGGCTGGGCGGCCCCCATTTGCCCTGACCCACCCAAGGATGCGTCAGTCCTGGGCCGTGAGCTCTGGCCGGGGTCACCCAGCTGGCAGCCCTGAGCCCCTGCTGCTGCTCGGCCTGACCTGCCCTCCCTTCGTCCTCCTCTCTCAGGGGTGGCTGACCAGCTGCAGACAAACTATGCCAGCGATCTGAGGAGTATCCTCAAGACCCTTTTTGAGGTCATGGCCACCAAGCCCGAAACAGACGACAAGGAGAAGTTAAAGAAGGGTGAGTGCCACACACGGCATGTCCGTGCCACCCCCCAGGAGCCGCACCCCCACCCTGAGGGCACACGGCCCTGCACGGCCATCCATTCGGCCTTTCCGGGGCCCACCGCCTCCACACGGAACCCACTGGCACTGCCAGGCTCTCCACTAGGGACCAAGGGGCACAGGTCGCAGGCGCCCCAGAGGCTTTGCAGGGGGCTCCCACCACCCCACGCACAGGCCTGTGCCTGCAGCACCCCCTGCTCGCCCCTGCATGCCCTCCAGCAAGGCCACCCAACGTCTCGGGGCCAGCGGCCTGCAGGGGGCAGTGAGACCCAGACAACGCAAGGTCACCCCTACCAACTTTCCATCGGCCAAAGCCGCCGGGTGCCAGCCCACAGTCAAGGAGGGGACCTCGGCCCCACTTTTCGGGGGGAAAGTGGCAGCTTATGACCTGTGGCCGCCTGCGACCTGCCTCACGCGTTTACACGTGCCCACACATCCCAGGCACAGACACGCGCGCGCACACATGCACGCACACTCTCCCACGCACACTCTCCCACGCACACTCTCACACACAGCCACCCACGCACACTCTCCCACGCACACTCCCACACAGCCACCCACGCACACTCTCCCACGCACACTCTCTCACACGCACACAGGCACACACACACACACTCTCGCACACACCCATGCGCCCGCACACACGCACACACTGTCACACACTCTTGCATACTCCCACACGCATGGGGTGGGGAGGGAGCCTGACCCCTGCTCGCCCTCCCCTTGTGCTGGGCTGAGATACCTGTTCTGGGCGAGCTGCCGTCCTCACGGGGCATCTGGGCACACAGGGCCACCTGCCCGGCTGTAGAGCCCACCGCCATCCAGCAGGGCACATCCTGGCTTGGGGGGAGGAGGAGCAGAGTCAGTCCTGTGTGTCGCCCCAGCTCTGCCTCCTGGTAGCCATACCACTGGGCTGCTGGGGAATTCAGGGTGACACGGCCTTCTGAAACATCAAGAGTCAGAAAAGGTGGGTGACATGGACCAGTTCTGCAAGCAAGGATGGTGGGCTCCTCAGCCCGTGTCCAGGCCTGGTCCCCCTACTGCCTCGGGGGTCACAGCCCAGGGGGACCTTCCACACACAGTGCAGGAGCTCTGGGGCTGGGGGCCCCAGGGGGGAGAAGCTGTAGACCTCAGGGCACCGAGCCCAGCCTGCTGGGGCAGTGCTGACTCACCCGTGCGCTGGGGGACTGGGGCTGGCTTTGGGGGACCTGCCCCCCTGCTGGCCACATGCGGGTGGGCCTAGCGGGGACAGGTGCTTGAGCATCAACCCCACCCCTTCCTTTCTCCCTCCCTCTCTCTTCTAGTCACCCAAAGCCTGCGGAGTGCAGCCTTGGAGGACTGTGCCCTGTGCCAGGAGACCCTGTCATCCTCTGAACTGGCAGCCAAGACCCGAGATGGGGACTTGGAAGGTGCGTGCAGGGTGTGGGCCAGGGCCCGAGGTGCTGCGTGCAGGGCAGGGAGCGAGGAACTTGTCTGGACTGTCCCCCTCTCTGGCCTGAATGCAGAATCCATGAAGGCACTGCTTCTCCAACTGGGGGTCCCTCCCCAGAGGCCCCCTGGGCCTGTAGCTGCCCATGGGGAGGCGGCTACCCCCTTGGTGGCACACGGACCCCCTTAGCCAAGGCCTTTGGCTGCGGCCGGAGGTGGATGGACCCAGGGCAGAGGCACACATCTGAGCCCACCTGTACCCACCTGCCCCACAGGAAGGGCCTCACATGGCAGCTTCCAGTGACTTCTTCACAGGTCATGTGGAAGCCCCAAGACCCTGCTCCCCGTTTAGGCTGGAGGCCAGGCCTGCTGGGTGATCAGGGAGAGAGCGTCCAGAGTAGGTTGGGAGCTCGGGCAGCACAGCTATGGGGAGGGGGCCACCCAAGAGTTTCTAAGGGGCTGGAGGCCTGGGAGAGGTGCTGCGATGGATGGTGGCGGATAGGCCTGACCAGGCATCAAACGGGAATGGGGCCAAGAAGGAGGCTGAAGTTGACCCCACGATAGGCCAGAGGTCACAGCACTCCTGGTGTGCCTGGCCTGCTGGCTGACCCCGCTGGTCCCAGGCTCAGGGCCTTCCTGGTGTTTGCCAGTCCCCTGGGGGTGACAGAGGTTGCGGGGATGGGATGTAAGGAGCAGCACAAGCTCATCTCTACCTTTCTAGAAAACCATGCGTGATGGTACAAAGTACCTGTTACAGGAACTTGGAACCTCTCTGTTCATGAGTGAATGTAATGAGCTGCGAGGTCTGGCATTGCCCAGGGCACAGGCGAGGGCTACATCCTCCCTGGGGGCTGCCGACCCAGCCCCCTCCTAGAAGTGGCTCCCCTTGGCAGGCCTAGGAAGTCCTCGGGACCCTCACATCCCCCCGCCCCGCCCCGCCCCTGCCAGGAGTGCTTCTGGCCTTATCTGCCTGAGCTGGAGGTCCTGGCCCAACACGGTCCTTAGGGGCTAACATCGCCACCCAGGATTTCCCCGGGGCCAGCCTGAGATTCTACACAGGAGGTGGTGAGCATGAGAAATGACCTCCCTGCAGGGGAGGATGGAAGGCAGGAGAGCTGAGTGGGAGGCAGTTCTGAGTCTGTGCAAGCAGACAGGAGGAGGGGCAGAGCCTCCAGGGTGGGAGGGAGGCCAGAAGACCCCAGGCCCTTCTGAGTTCTGTTTGGAGGCCCTGAGGATGGGGTGTAGGGATGCAGGCCAGTGCCCACTTGAGCATCAAGCCTGGGGGTCTTGTGAGGCTACACAGACCACCTGTGAGTACTCTCTGTGGTCTGAGGGAGGGGTCCGACATGTTCTTTCCCCCCGGCCGTTGGTGCTGGCCTCGGGGCCTGGCCCGCCCTAGTCAGCTTGGTGCCCGAAATGGGAGGACAGCACCTGTCTTGCTGCATGTGGGAGCCCGCTTCTCCCTGTGCTGATGTGTCTCCCGAATTCCAGAGCAAACCTCCACAGAGGCTCCCATCAGCCAGGGCCTCGAGAAGTGAGCTCAGACAGGCCCCACATGTGGCGTGGAAGGAGGAGGTGGCCCCTGGCCCCAGCCTGGCCTGCACACATGTCAGGGAGGGGCCGGCTGGGCCTCCAGGACCCCAAGAGCCTGAAAACTGCTCTGGAGCCAGGAGTGGGCAAGGCTGGGGGCGCCTGAGGCCCCCACAGAGCACACCTAGAGCTGAGCTGGGGGTCGATTTCTTCATTTCTCGACCACCACCTCTGCCCCAGGGGCCTGCCAGGCTGGCTGCTGACAGAGAGAGGCTCGGGAGAGGGTCATCGGGTGGACACTCCCTGCCCATGTCCTGAATCCCGGTGGCCTGGCTGACTGCAAGGTGTAGGCTGCAGCTGGGGGCTGGCGGGCAGGCTCGGACAAGAGCTGAGGAGCTGCTGTTCGGGTGACGATTTCCTGAGACCATAGCCGGTCCAGGGGAGGGCCGGAGGGAAGGAGGGCGGGAACTGCTGGGGCCCGTCCAGCCAGAGGCGCCCTTGAACCCCAGCCCGCCGGCTCCCACCGTTACAGCTGCACGGCTCCCTCTGGGTGACCCCATTCCCACTGTCACAGATCCACCGGAGTGGGTCCCAGACGAGGCCTGCGGCTTCTGCACTGCGTGCAAAGCGCCCTTCACCGTCATCCGCCGGAAACACCACTGCCGCAGCTGCGGGAAGGTGAGCGGGTCGTGGAGGCCAGAGGTTGTCCCGGCGGCCCCAGGGACTGAGGCTGCGGTCCTCCCCAGGGGGCTGTGCACAGGATCTGGAAGCCAGGACCGATGACCCGGGGGCCTGATAAGGCCTTTGAGGTCTTGGTGCAGAGGTCCCTGAGCCTTGGGCCCTGCTCTGACCTGGCCCAGGGTATGGACGTGAGGCCCCCAGCCCCCTGGGTGCTGATGGTGCTGCTCCTGGCCACTGCAGAGCTGGGGATGTGCAGGGAAAGAGGGTCTGAGGGGGCCAGAACCCCCTCGGTGAGCCTGGCCTCCTGGGGCCGTGACCCACGCCAGGTTTTTCTGAAGGTCCCTGTGGCACACGCGGGGGCCCGCAGGGTCCCGCCACTGCCGCCTCGCCCGTCGGAAGGAGGGGGTGGGAAGCGCCCCCCGCCCCCGCCGCAGGACCAGGGTCGGGAGGGGCGAGGCACAGGGCCCGGGGCTGCTGGGGACCCTGGCTCACTGCCCCCACGGCCCGCCCCTCAAACTGCAGATCTTCTGCTCCCGCTGCTCCGCGCACTCGGCGCCGCTGCCGCGCTACGGGCAAGTGAAGCCCGTCCGCGTGTGCACGCACTGCTACGTGTTCCACGTCACGCCCTTCTACAGCGACAAGGCGGGCATCTGACGCGAGCCCCGGCATCCCCACACCTGCCGGGGCCCCCGCGGACTCCCGGGGAGGAGGTGCCGCTGGCTGCGGGTCTCCACGCACCTCAACAAGCTGCTGCTGCCGCCACTGGAGGGCGCTGCAGGCCGCCCAGACTCGCAGGACGCCCCGCGCCTCCGTCCCCGCCCCGCCCCCCCACCGGTGCCCACCCCCCCCACCCCTCCCAACGGGCCAGCGGCAGGGGCCAGCAAGAGGTCGGCTCCGGGCAGTGGGGGTGTCCCGGGCGGCCAGGCGGTTGCCTGGGCGGGGATGGGCGCTCCTCCTGCCCGCCCCCGCCCCCGGCTCCGGCCAGCCCAGCTGCTGTCTCCAGGCTGAGCCCTAGTAGAAGGCTTACTCAGAGCCTGCTCTTGACCGGCAAAGTGGGGTCGCACCTGGGGCCAAATCCTGGGCAAGATGGGGGACACCTCCAGGAGAGGGGTCAGGCCTCAGTGTCCCCCGAGGGCTTCCCCGTGCTCTGCCCATTCTCTCTCCCTGCCCATAGCCCACAGCTGCCTGTCCCTGCTCCCCTTCGGGACCTTGACCAAACAACAGGTGGGTTGGTTACTCTCAGAGCGGGAGATGCAGATGCACACCCAGCTCTTCTGGGCCCACCCAAAGGCGTGCCCCTGCCCACGGGTGCCCATCTGCTGATGGGATGGGGGGCAAACAGCTGCCTGCACGGCGCTGAGACCCAGGTCCCCAGGCTCTCAGACCAGGGCTCCCAGGGGCCAAGGACCACCACCCACCTACTGCCACCACCCCCTTCCCTCTGTCCCCCCGGGACCGTGGCCCACCTCCTCCCACCCCGGATTGGCCCGGGCCTCAGGCTGAGGCGGCCAGCCAGCCCCAGCACGGACACCTCAGGCTTAAATCTCAGGCTTCACATTGCAGTGACGATTGCAGCTTTATTTTTAGAGAGACGGCACACTACTTCTTCTTTTATAAGAAAATCCAGCTTCTGCTGAACAGTGGGTGCACATGCACAGAAACAGCTTCTGGGGGGGGCGGTATACAACGGAGGGAATATTATGTATTGAGATTATTTTTATTTTCTAAATGCTGTAATTCGAAGCCATTTCCATAAATCTCTTTAAGGATTGCAGACACTCGTTTCTGATGTGAACACGGACTTCTTTTTCTGTCTGGGAAGGGATGGTGTTCTTGCTAATATGTGTTCTCCCCAAAAGCCCCTTCCCATGCCCTGCCTACTTGTCCAGCCCCTTGTCTCATGTGTCCTCAGCTCAGACCCCTGGCCTGTGTGTGTGTGTGTGTGTTGGGGGGTGTGCTCTTGGACACCCCCACCTTGAAGCCTTCCCCACCCTGGTCCAGGGCTGAGCTACCCACCCACCTGGGGGTGCCTTCTGGAGTACCCTGGGGAGAATGCAGGCGGGCAGGCTGCACCCTGGGGTTGCCATGGCAATGGCACCTTCCTCTGCTCTTGGAGGCTGATCCCTTGGGAACTGGGTGCCCAGTCCCTTGGAGGTAGACACTGGGACCTCAGAGAATGGGGGGATGGTTGGGAGAAACCCCAGTGGCCACCAGACCCACTTTCTTTCTGAGAGATGAAAGAGTATTTAGAATTTGGGGGCTCCCTAGGAGCAGTCCTGAGTCCTTCAGGAGCAGAAGAGAAGGGGTGTCTGGCTGCCCACCTGGACAGAGCCCCTCCCACCCCTGTGGGTGGCTGCAGCTGGTGTCACTGGAGGGACAGCGGTGTCTTCCAGAAGGTCATGCGGGGGCCGGGGGGAGGCAGCTCATGCCACCACAGACCAGGAAGTCAGCCCCTTACAGGAGAAGCCTCTAGGGAGAGACACCCTTTCCTCTCCTCAACAGGCACCCACAGTTATCACCTTCCAGACTTATCCGCCAGGTCAGGCTCGGTGGAGTGGAGACCCAGAAAAGAGGGTCTGCCCGCCCTCAGCACAGACAGGGCCGCCCTCCAGAGGGAGAGGTCTAGGCCCCCAGGGACACAAGGGAGCTCTGAATGTGGCCGGGAGCCAGGAGGCCCTCCACGCCAGACTTGGCCTGCCTTTGTGCACCCCCACCCCAGACTGCCCTGCAGGAAGTTCTCGGGACACGGGAGCGCCCTGTGAGGGTCCTGAATCATGAGACTCTCCATGCTAAACCAGGGATGTGTGGTCACTCTGCCCTTCTACAGGGCTATCCACATCCCAAGGACAGAGCCAAGACCTGGAGGGGAGGGGATGAGTCCAACACAGAGTTTCCCACTCAGGAAGGTTCTAGAAGGAACGGCCTGCTGCCCACCACAGTAGGGCCTCAGGACTGGGAAACCTTGGGGGTAGGGACAGGGAGAGAGCCAAGAGCTCCGAATTTGGAATCAGCCCTTGCAACCTGGCCTTGGGCCTCGAGCTGGTTAGCCTTCCTGACCCTCCGGTCCCCTTCGTCACCACCACTATGGCCTTCCGCTTTGAGTGTGCTCTACTGCCCTCGACAATCTCCTCTGGGGCAGGATCCCTGTGTCATGTGGATAAACCGAGGCTCAAGGAAGTCAGTGGGTGGTGGTGGTGGAAGCAGAGTGCCCGGAGACAGCCCCAGCTGGCTGTGCCCGGAGAGCCGCTTCTGAAGGCCGCTCCAGAGACCAGGGCTCCACCAGCCTCTGAGTGCCCACCACACCCCTGTCCAGCATCGGGAGGAAGGCTGGGGGCTGCCAGCGGCTGGGCACACCTGGGTCTGTCTTGCCCGCCTCACCCCTCTCTTGTGCTATGCACAGGCTCTGGGGAGAAGGCCTTGCATGCTCCCTAACACCGCCACCCCAAGCGTCTGGCAAGAGGCGGGGACCCTAGGCCTGACTGGGCCCCACGGGTACTCAGGACCCGGATGCAGCCTGCAGGCCACCAAGTCAGAGGATGGAGGGTCTGGGCCGGGCGCACCCTGAGCTCTCTGCACCTCAGGAGTCCCTGGAGCAGAGAGGGCCACCGTAGTCAGCCTCAGAGAGGTGGCATGGGGGTGGGGAGAAGGGGAATGCCCCATCTGGTCCCGCTGCAGGGTCAGCTCAGTCCAGAGGCCCCCCCGACTCCCACCCCCACACCCCCTGGCCTCTGGAGGTGCCCCTGCTGCCTGTCCCCATCTGTGGCTCATCCGTCCCCACAAACATGACCAGATATAGCCAGCCTGCCCTCAGGCCTGGTGCACTTCCCCTGGACACCCAGGCAGGCGGCCACGGGCGCCAGACGTGTGGCCCTGGGGTGGCGCGGGAGCACAGAGAAGACTGTTTAGTGTCCTGGCTGCTGACTAAGGTGATGAGACAGTACCCCCCAGGAGGCCACTGGCAGGAGCGGGGTTGCAGGGCTGCTCCCCTTCTCTTGGGGCAGAGGACTGAGCTCCCTCCTGGGTCCCCACTATAGCCCCTGATGGCCACCAGGGGGCGCCTGCCTGCAGTCGGCCCTCCCAGCACGTCTGCTCTCCCAGCAGTTCTGGCTGCCAGGGCCACGGGGCACACGGGAGCGCTGCCTGCAGGGCGAGAGGGGGTCCTGGCTCAGCAAGCACTATATGCAGGGCAGACCCCATCCCAGATCCATCTGGGTCCTGCTCGGAGTTGGACATCTCAAAGCACCGGGGCTGGGGCTGGGGGCTGACCCTCCCAGCTCTTGTGGTTCCCTGGACTCTGCAATGGGAGCTGGGGGGCAGGTGAGCAGGACTCAAAGTGGCCGCCCAATGCCACCCCCTTGACCCAGAGTCCTGGAAGCTCTATCTCTTCAGAGGCCCACCCAAAGCCCCCTCCTCCAGGCAGCCTTCCCAGACAGCAGCATCACCCCCATCCTCACACACATTCTCAGAGCACAGCCTGGGGTCCCTTCGCAGGAGTCAGCAAAACCCTCAGGGCCTCTCCTGACTCTGAGACTGGGGAGCGGCAGATTCCAGCACCGAGCAGTCACTCAAAGGGGATGTCACCCCAAAGACTTAAAAACTCAAGCAAGTCTCTGGCTTCTGCTCGTATGCTCAGGGCACGTCAGGGCTGGAGCCTGCACCAGAGCTGGGCAAAGATGAGCACCCAGACACCCCAGACCTTCCCTGCCCTTGGGGGCCTGCAGGTCTGGGGCAGGGGCACGTGAGCTGGCTAAGCTGGCTGGGCCTTGGGGGGGTGAGTGGGGTATCCATGGAGAATGGGGTGCCAGAACAGTCCTGAGAGTTTGAGCAATGGGGGTACTCCTGGCCAGGGTGGAGCACATATAGGGATCACGGCTGGGTCACCCCAGGCACCAAATTCAGGCTTTGTCCGGAGGGCACTGGAGAGTCGTGGAAGAGTTCTGAGCAGGGCAGGGCACGGTCAGATTTGTGGTGTGGATACCTCACAGGGAGATGGGCGGGTGGGAGAGGCCAGGGTCCCATCGGAGGCGGTCACATGGCTTTGGCCAGTCACCTCTGGACTGCCTCCCATCACACAGGGCCCTACCAGGCTGTGTGGGTGGAGGTCTGAGAGGCCTCTGTGCCCTCGGATGGAGGCAGCCTGGGTCACACTCGCCAGAGCCCAACCCTCTGGGTCGAGAAGCTGCTGGATGACCAGGAGCCCAGGGGTGGGGAGCTGGGGGTGGGTTTCCTGGGCTCAGGCCGGGGGAACAGGCCAGAAAGGCCTAGGGCAGAGAATCCTAGATGGCAGTACTAGGAGAGGGGTTTTTGGTGTGAGCCTGGAGGCCCCTATTGTTTGTGGGAGGGAGACCTGCCCATCTATTCCAGGCTCATCCTCCCTCAGACGAGAGGGCCCACAGCCATTAGGAGCCTGGGAGCAGCAGCAGGGCTAACCTGGGCTCCCTGTCATGCCCCACCTGGGGCCGGAACTGGACGAGGTCGCTGGCCCTGAGCCGTAAGAGTTTCTGGCCCTCTGGCTCAATACCACAGCAAGTGGTTGAGTCTATACCACATCCCACCTTCATACCTTGTTTTTTTCCTATAAACATTTTTTAAAAGAAAATTTTATTGTTTTGTTTTTGGATATCTCAGTTACAAAAAAAATTCATTTAATTTATAATTGTCTAAGTTGTCCAGGGTCATCGAATATAGCGGGGAAAATAACTTGTAAAGTGAGAAATAAATCTACTCCAAAAATTGTTCACAAATGCAATAAACTATTTCCTTTTTTTAAATTTAAAAATAACATTGACATTATGTTAGCTCTGCACACATTATGTCTTCATGCATCTTGATAGCATTGCTGCCCCCTCACTGTATTGTGGAGACCGTTTTTTCCTGAGTGCTCGGCTTTGTAGAAGGCCCCCAAATGCTCAGAGGCCTGGCCTGTGGCTGGCGGGCTTGGGCAGCTGCCGCTCCAGCCCACCCAGGTTCCAGGGGGACTCTGATGCTGGCCGATGGCGACTGGGCAGGCCTGGCCCCATTTCTCTGTGTGTAGGGCCAACAGTTAGAGGCACTTGCTGATCGGGGCTGATGTTCATATTCCCGACACTTTCTGGGCATCCCTTTGTGCCCTGCCCACTGCTGCCTGGGACCTTCCATGGATCCTTCTTTCCAACCCAAAGCCACCCCGAAAGGTATGTACTGTCAACTGTTTTATAGCTGGGAAACAGGCGGAGAGAGGTTAAAGTGAATTGGCCAAGGTCTTGTGGCCAGACTAGAATCCAGGGACACTTTGGGAGAGGCACCCAGGGACAAAAGTCCCCTGGGACTCCCCTCTGGTGCTGGTGCACACCAGACATCTTAGGGCAGGGGAGCCACGGCTTCTAGGGGGCTGGCTGTCATGCTGGGGCAGGCCTGGCCCTCTGATGACCCCAGGCCAGGCTCTCTGTCCCCCCCCACACACCACAGTCCCAGAACCTGCCTGCAGGGAGCTAACCAAACGTGGCCTGCCACTCCCCCCACACCCCCCCTGCCGTGGGCCCAGGGAAGGCAGGTTGTGGGCTGTCCAGGCAGGCGGGGCAGCCCCTCACTCTCAGCCTCCTGCCCAGAATGCTGGGGCTGTGGACCCAGCTGGGAGCAGGGAGTCCACCCCAGTGACGGGGGAGGCAAGGGAGAAGGTGAAGCCAGGGCTGGGTCATCCTGGAAGCAGGAGGAAGGGGCTTTGGAGAAAGAAGGGCCTTGAAGACCTTCCCATCCTGGGAAGGGGGGAGCTTCCTGGGGCTGTGCTCTGGGTGGGGGTGCTTCCTGGGGCCAAGCCGGGAGCCATAAGCATGTTCCTGAGGCTGTGAGGTCAGGGTGGAGCCCTGGGCCAGAGAAAGGGAGCCAGGGCCCAGCAGGTGTGGGGGAAGCTAGGAAGCAGCTTTCTAGAGGTTTCTTTCCCTCAGATCTCCTTAGGGCCTTAAATGCCCTCCCGGGACCGTGGGGGTGGGGAGGAAGGCTGCCTTTACTGAGCTCCTGGGCCAGGAATCCTCATGCCATCCTCCAAACACTGCAAGAGGTGGGTACTACCATTCTCCTTTTATAGCCAGGGAAGCTGAGGCTAGGGCGCAGGTGGGGGAGGAAACCAAGAGAGCTGGGCAGAGAGGGCCTTCCAGTCAAATCGGGAAGTCCCTTTTGGATTCAGGCCCCACTCCTTCTCCTAGAGCCTCTGTCTGGGAGCTCTGGGGTGGGCTGGGCTCCCCTAAAGGACAAGCAGGGAAAACAATCTGGGGGATGGGACAGTGAGGGAAACGCGGGCTGGTGCAGGAGGGATGCACGGTGGAGGGCCCCTGGGGCCTGGGTGCTTGGGAGGGGCATCCGGAGTCGGGAGCAGGAGAGGTCTGTGTCCCCTCTTGGGCTCGAAATGGAGATAGAGAGAGGGGGCCTGAGAGGTCTGCGTCCTTCCTTAGGGGCACGGACTTGGGCTGGTTCCCGCTGGGACAGGGCCCTGCACTGGAGAAGGGGCAGGAAGGGCTGGGCAAACATGGGAGAGAAGTAGGTGAGGAGGCAGCCAGCCTAGCCTGGGCTCAGGGAAGCCTCCCTGGAAGAGGTGATACAGCCTTGTTGGAGACCTGCCCTACAGAACTGGGCCTGCGGTGGCACAGCACCTGCAGCTTTGGACCCTGGGCCAGCCGGCTGCTCCTATACACCCCCCTCCCCCACCGAAACATACCTGGGGAGGGCCCATTGACGCTCAAGGGTGTGGGGCCTTGGCTGGCCCCAAGTGAGACCAGCACCGCCCTACCCCTGTTCGCCACCCCCGCTCCTGGCAGGCCCCCACCTTGCAGCTTAGTGTCTTCCCTGGAGGCTCTGTCTGGTCCAAAAGGCTCCTCCCTGGTTGTCCCCTAGGCCTGGGGTCCTGATGCCTCAGCCCACGCCATGCCCTGGCCCTCCTGCTCTGCAGCTAGTTCGCGGCCCACTTCTGCCCTCACTCCCACACACTGCTTGCCACCGGCACTCACAGGCAGTGTGGCGCCCCTGCAAGTGCTTGGTCCCCGGTGTTACTGGGAGAGGGGTTCCCGAAACAGCCTAGCTGCAGATGGAGGCAAGGTGGGACCACCCCTTCTGCTCTCAGGCTGGGGTGCGGTTCACACGTGGTTCCCATGGTCACACCTGGGTACTTGCTCTGCGGGCTGTGACACACAGCACCCCTCATGCCCCACGGCAGTTAGTGGGGTGGACGTGCAGCAGGTGCACTCACCCTGGACAAGGTGCCGGCTTTAGGATTGGGCCAGCAACCTGTCCTTCACATAAGCAGGGATGAAGGGACTCTGCAAAATGCTGACCACCAGGTGGTGAGCCTGGGGTCCTGCCTCCTACACCCCTGAACTCTGCATGCATCTGCCCCTCCCCAGAATGGGGCACCCTCCTTTACTCTGTGCAGCTCTTAGGGGCTCGGTGCCCTGGTCCTGGGTGGATTGTGGGGCCGGGATTACCATCAAGGGATCGTCTTAATGTGCTTGCAGGGCTGTCTAATGGCAGTATCCGAGTACCCCATTGGGTCCTGCTGAGCTCTGCTGGGAGGGTTGGGGGGTAGACAACACATCCCTAACCCCATTTCTCAGGTCACACAGCTGTGGTTCCCAGGCAAGTAGTGTTAGGCCAGGAGGTGTCTTGGTCTCCATGCTCCTGGGTCACCAGCCCTGGGGCACGTTTAGGGGAGCACTAATCTACATGCCCCTGGGATTTTGCAAGGAGACCCCGGCCAGTCCCTAAACCTCAGGATTCCTGGTTTCCTTATCTGTAAATTGGGGACTCAGAAATACACAAGGGAATGTGTATGAAACATGCAGTAGATCCTAGGACAGAAAGTGCTGATTTTTAGTTTTTGTTGTTTTGTTGGCAGCAGCATTGCCCCATTTAGACCTCTGGGCAGGGTGGGGCGGGTCCATCCACCTTATCCCACACTCACCAACCCGCTGGTCCCCTCCGCAGGGGCTCCCAGGCCACCGGTCTCAACAACCAGTGAGAAGGAAGACCGAAGAGACCCAAAGGGACCCGAGGCCAGCGTGGGGCTGCGTCCAGGCTGCCAGACCCTCGCCCTGCAGAGCCAGCTGAGGGTCGGGAGCCACTAGGGGCCACCCAACAGCCAGGAGCTTGATGAGGGGCTCGCTCCTCTCCCACAGAGGGCAGCTCTCTTCCCTAGAGAGCGCTTCCTTGGCCAGAGGGGACCAGCGCCCGGAATGCCTTGGAATGTCCCTACTCTTTAGACCAGACACGAGCACGCAACCCTCCACTCTTGGGGGCCCCTTCCTCCAGGCCTGGGGTCCACTGGGCAGCTCTGAGGGGCCCCCCTCTCTAGGTCTCTCCCCATTGAGATGTGGCTCAAGAAGATCTGGCCCTTGGGCGCTGACCCTCTACGCCCCTCCTCCAAGCTCCGGCCTTCGCTGGGGTCACTCTATATCCGGCGGGAAGGGGTGTCGTTTTGCAGCCCACACGGCACCCCCGAGGAGACCACGAGGTGCCGTGCTCCCGCGGAGCCAGAGCTGCGGCGGCTGTCCCAGGGCAACAGGTTCTTGCACACGACGTGCAGACCCCGCGGACCGGCCAGGCGCAGCCGACGCTCCCCGCACCGTAACGGGCCGCGGCGCGCGGGCAGGCGGCGCGCGGTCCCACCGCGCTCCGCTTCCTCTCGGCAACGCGTCTGGCCGAGGCGCCCTCATTGGCCGCGCGCCCCGCAGCCGGCCATTGGTCCGCGGTCCCTATTTTACATAGACCGCTCTGGGCCAATCGGCGCGTGGCGCCTACTTAACATGCACGCCAGCCGCCAGTCAGCGAGCGCGGGGGCCGGGCCACCACGTGCTGTTGCTAAGCTTGGGCTTCTAAATTGTTACTACCGCGGCGGGCCTATCGGAACCGAGCTTCGCATCTGTCAACATTCTCGGCCCGGCCCGAGGCGTTCGGCCAGCTCCCATTGGCCCCGGCCCGGCCCAGCGCCCGCCCCCGGAGCCGGAGCGCCGGTCCCCATTGGCTGCGTCGGCCGCCGCTCGCCCTTATGTGTCAATTTGAGGGCCCGAGGCGGAGGGTGGCGGCCGAGCGCGCAGGGAGTCCGCCGGGGTCTGGGGAGTGGGGCCGCCGGGCGCGCGGGGCGGGCGGCGAGCGGAGCCGGCCGGAGAGGGCCGGGCAGCGGCCGCCGCCGTCCCGGAGAGCGCGGGCCGGCGCGGGCGGGCAGGAGGATGGAGCTGAATTCCCTGCTGATCCTGCTGGAGGCGGCCGAGTACCTGGAGCGCAGGGACCGAGGTAGCGCCCGCGCCCCTTTGTGCGCCGGGCCGCGGGCGGGCGGGCGGCGGCGGGGCCGGGGCCGGGGCGGGGGCCCGCTGACCGCGCCGTCTGTCCGCAGAGGCCGAGCACGGCTACGCCTCGGTGCTGCCCTTCGACGGCGACTTCGCCAGGAAGAAGACAAAGGCGGCCGGCCTGGTGCGCAAGGCCCCGAACAACAGGTACCGCCCCCCCGCGCGGCCGCCCCCACTCCCCGCCCGGCCCGGCGCCCGGGGTCGCCCCCCGGAGCTCCCTCCCCCAACCCGACCCCCGGGCCTCAGCCAGGCCACAGGCCGCGCGCCCCGGCGGCCAGCCTGGAGGAGGAGGCGCGCCCGGGCCGCGGCCGCAGCCCCGCCCGGCCGGCCCCGCCCGCGCCGTCGCCATCTTCCCGCGGGCCGCGCCTCCTCGGCCTCTCGCGTAAACAGTGCCACGCGTACAGCGCCAGCCGCTCGGGGTCTCCTCCCGCAGCCGCTCCCCGCTCCCAAGTTGTTCTGGACTTTTCCGGGCAGGAAAAAAGTTGTCTGTGGGCGCTGGCCGGTGCCCCGTGAGTCCGGGGAAACTGAGGCTCGGTGCACAGCAGCGTGGGACTGCCCGCTCTGACCTCTGCTTGCCACGGGTGGGTGGGCCGCATCTCTCCTACTGTTGGGCTGAGTACCCCCACCCCCGGGGGGCCTAGACAAAGAAGGCGCATGGAGGCCCTGCCTTGGGCCCCCAGCCCTCCCACGGAATCCACCCTCCTGCCCAGTCTCCTGACATAAGTGAAACGCAGCGACAAGTGTAGGGTCTCCTTCTTTGGGACAGGAGGCCCTTTTTAAGGGGAGCCGGAAGAGGTGCAGGCCGCTGTGCAGCAGCCCTCCCCCACCCCCCTTTTTCTGGCCTTGTTCCCAGACTGTAGAAGCAGAAAGCTGGGGTGCACATCCCTGGGGGGGGACCCCGAGCTAGGGCTCCCGCGGGGTTCCACTCTCCCGCCTGCCATGAGGACCACCCCACACCTGGCACTGCCCGGCCGGCTTTGGCTCGGGACCATGTCACCGGGCGGGGAGCTGGGCTTGCAGGGGGCTTCAGGGCCCCTTGGCAGAGGGTGCGGCTCATTCCTGTGGCCTGCCTGTTCTTGGGAAACAGAAAGGCTGGCACAAGGACCCATCTCCTGTGACGTCCCGGCGCCCTGGGCCTGGCAAGGAGCTGGTTGAGTCTCCATCTGCCCTGGCTGGACGTGCCTCCCAGTCCCAGCTCCTGGTCCCCTGCTGAGGACAGTTTGGGCAAAGATATGTGGGGGGGGGGCACCCCGGCCTCGGGCCCCCGCTGTTGGCTCTCACTGCCCCCAGTGCCCCGGCGCCCATGGAGAACTCTGGGGCATGACCTTGGACTCCCATGGGGTACCCAAAGTTGATAACCAGAATCCTAGCTAAGACTCCCCGGGGGCTTTGGTGTGCTGAGTGGGTCAGTACCTCCTACTATCCGCCGAAAGCAGGATGGACGTGTTATTTTTATCTGCACGTGAAGGCCGAGGAAACGGGCACAGAGAAATGGAATTACTTGCCTGGAGCCACCCTCCCATCCCTGGGACCTCTGTTCTGAAGTGGGGTCTTGGCCTTTTCCATTCTGCCAAGCAGAGGCCCTCAGGGCCCTGGGGAGGACCGAGAGAGTCTCCTGGGCTGCAGTGCACCTCCGGGCTGCTGCTCTGGGCAGAGCTGGCGTCTCCCAGGGATGAGGCCCCCTGGGGCTCACAGAGATGGCCCCTCGAGGCTGTCCTTGTCCAGTTGGGCCTGGCCAGCCCAGAGCAGGGCCTAGAGGATCCGGAGCCCTGACTTGCCTGGCAGGGCTGTCCTACCCTGCAAGGCTTCTTCCTCTCGCCACGGTGAGGGGAGAGGATGGGCACCGCTGGGGCCAGGGTGAGGAGTGGGGCGGGAGGGCGATGTGTGTGGGGGAAGCCCCACAAGCTCCAGCAAGGGCTTTGGGGGGCAGTGGTTCATCAAGAGGGAACTGGAGCCAGCCTGCTGGGGCTCAGGTCCTCCAAGAACATGGCTGAAGAGTACCTACCCGGAGGGGTTGCCGTGGGCTGTGAACCAAGTGAGGGCAGGAATATACTTAGCAGAGCCCCAGCCTGGGGTCCCCCCCTCTCCCTAGGCCTGAGACACGGTGTGCCTGGGACCGATGTTACAAACCTGCCAGAGGCTATCACAGGTGTCTGGACCTGGGAGGAGCCCTAGGAAGGGCTCTGGGCCCCTCTCCATCCCCAGCTAGCCAAGGACTGACCCTCTTCCTCCAGGATGGGGTCTAGCCCAAGCTGTGAGGGGGTGGCCAGGCACATCTCTCTACATCGAAGGGCACTCACTGACCCTTACATCCTTCACACGCGAGCAGATCTCCAGACCCACACAGGTGGACTGTGGTTCAGGCCTTGAGGAGCCTGACAGCTATGCCCCTTCCTGGTCCTGGCCAGCCCCGGCAGAGGTTCTGAGGCTCCCTGCCCAGCTCATGTGATCAGCAGGCCCTCGGGGCTCTCCTAAAGCTGCACAGGGAGGCGCAGGGACTGACTGCCCTGGCGAGCAGAGGGGAGACCTTGGGTCTCAACTGGCTTTGATGGGGCCGTGAATCATGCTAGGCAGCAGAAGCAGGAAGGATGGGCAGGCACTCTGACTTGTGGGATGGGGGCAGGAGACACCTAGTCCACAGTTCCTACAGCAGGGGAGTGAGGGCAGGCAGGCAGAGGTCAGCAGAAGCTCCAGGAAAGAGGGAGGGAGGGGTGGGGGACACAGCAGTCAATCTGGGTGTCCCCTGAGGTGGCTCGGGGGCCCTCTGCTCACATGCGAGGCAGCCTGGCAGGCCTAGGAGCCCTGGCTGTCCAGGGCGTCCCCACCTGAGCTGGGAAGATGGTGGGGAACTGGAAGATTGGCCCTGCCGTATTATCGTCCTGCAGGGCAGGCGCTGTGGCCCTGTCCACCAGGGTGCTCAGGACTCTGTATCCCTGTCTGGAGGGGCCAGGTGGGCAGGGCTTGAACAGCAGCTGGGGTCCCTGCGCCCAGAGAGGCCAAGACCATGGCCCCGGAGGGAAGCGCGAGGGCCAGGCTCAGTCTCCCGCTGGCCCTCTGGCCCAGGAAGCATCCACATATTGGAGGCATCCTTATGCTCTGACCCGTCTTGGGCTGGGTCTGCTCTGTCCCTGGGTGTCCCCACTGGTCCGGTGAGCTGTGAGGATGTAGGTGGGAGAGCCCAGCAGGGTGGGAATGGTGCTCTGGCTGGGTCAGGGCGGGCCACCCCGTGCCTGTGTTCCCCTGCCGTTGGCCCTTGGTGCTAGCTCCCGTGGCCTCCAGTGGTGGGGAGTGGAGAAGACTGGTAGCTTAGTGCCTGGGAAGTCTGGGGAGCACAGGGTGCGTCAGTCCTAGTACCTTCTGGAAGGGGTCTTGGACCCTCCTGCTGGCCAGAGCCCCCACATGCCTCACAAAGTAAGCCGGGCAGCCCTAGGCACCCCTGGACAGAGCTGCAGCTCTGTGTCTCCTGTCCTTGTCACTCAGGGCGAGGTCCCCCCCACCCCCGCCTTGGCTCGGCAGCTGCTCACCTGCCCTGGCCCTCCCCGCCCTGGGCCATCCTGGGGCCCAGACCCTGTCTGCCACCATCTACAGGTTCCTAGGTCCCCGAGGAGAGCTGTCGTTCTTGGGCTTTGGTGATCAGGCAGCAGAGTGAGCTCTGTCTTTCTGTCTCTCTAAACAGGTCTTCACACAATGAACTAGAAAAGCACAGGTAAGTGATCCCCTGTCCCCCGCTCCCAGTCGCCCTTATGAGCCGCCTAACACATCCCACCCACCCTTCTGCTGGGGGGATGCCATGGCCGCACCCTCCGGGTCCCACCGGATGTGTCTGGGCATGGCTGACCGTGCTGCCAGGCTGGGCCCTTGCTTGGGAAGGGTCCGTCTTAAAGGCAGAATCAGACTGTGCTGTCAGGCACTCCCATGCCGGGAGATGGAGGCAGGGGCCCAGGTGCTGCTCTTGGAAGTTCAGGGTGGGGGGTGAGGGACTTGGAGCAGGACCCCCTATGCTGGGTGACCCTCAGGGCCCGCTCTCTGGAGGAGGAGATCCATCTAACTTGGGGCATCTGAGCCCCTTTGGGAGCAGCTCTTGAGCCTTTAGGATGCTGGCCTCTAACCATGAGGGCTTGGCCCATTTAGTCTGGGGTCCCCTACACCCGGGGCCTGCCTTCCAAGGAGTTCCCACTGGTCTCATGTGGGGGCAGTGGGAAGGGCAGCCTGTCTCTGGCCACGTGGGCTTGAGGGGAAGCTCTGGCCCAGGGAAGGATCCAGGGGAGCCCACTTCATGCCCACCTACTGGCTGCAGGGCTGGGTCTGCACTGGGCCCTCTGAGGAGTGGGAGGGCTTGTGGGGAGAAGCAGGGAAGGGCAGCACTGTGGCCCAAGGTAGGCCCCAGGGCCCCTCTCCGGCTGACCCCAGCTTGGGTGCTGCAGGCCTGGCTCTGCCCTCAGGGGTTCCATGACCCTGAGCCTCCTCTAAAATAGGGACAAGACACAGGCAGGCTCGGCCCTGCAGACAGGGACCCTCATGGCGGATCTCAGCGGGGTGGTCAGGGAGCTGGGGGTGGGTACAGAGGCCCTGAAGGCAGGAGCCGTGGTGCCAGGACAAAGGGATGCCACATGGTAGCTTTTTCCTGAGCTTTGCTCCCATCTGTGAAATGGGCCCATTCTTTTCTCCCTTCTTGGGTCAGTGTGGAGGGGGGCTTCTGTATACAAGTTGAGCTCTCAGCCTGCTCTGGGAAGGCTTGGAGCTTAGCCAGTTCTGCGTGTTCTCCCCCCGCCCCTGCTCTATGCCCATGGCAGCACCAGCTTCCGCTCCCCTGGGATTCGGCCCTCAGCTGGGCGGGGGCTGGGCAGGGACAGGACGCTGTGTTCTCTGGAGGAACTGTACTTCCTGGACTGGTCCTGTGTGTTTGAGGGGCTCCTGGAGAGGCCATGGAGGTGGGGCAGGTACAGGGGCCCCAAGAGCCAGGCAGGCCCCGGGGTTGCTCCCAGGCTGGAGGAGGTGGTCAGCCTTTACCGGGACCCCGAAGCCTGGACAGGCACGTGAGGGGTGTTCTGGAGAAGGCCCTGGGGTGGTGCCTGGGAAAACAGGCCCTCAGTGCAGACAGAGGGGATGATGCTGCGGGAAGACGGGTGCCCAGGGCGTGGCAGCCTGTGGAGGAGGACAGGTTGCTAGCCTTTGACCCCTACACCTGCCCCTTGACCCTGGCCTTGGCCTCAAGTCACCTTCTCCCAAAGCCCACCCTTAGGCTGGGCCTCGGGGGGTCCTTTTGAGACACTGCAGCCGGATAGATGGGTGACTTGAGATCTCTCTCCACTCCCCCATCCCAGTGCAGGGTCCTGTTTCTGGCTGGCCAATGGGCAGGTGTGGGCAGCCATGAGGAGCCCCTGGTGGGGACCGGGATCACGGCTGTGCCTGTGACTGCCCAGTGCTGATGCGGGATATGCCTGACTGCTGGCCACAGGAAGGAAAGAAGCATGGCTGGGTCACCCGGCCGGCCCTGGGGCGGCGGAGGGGGCGGGGGGGGGCGCAGGCCCCTGGACGCCGCCTTCCCTGGAGGTGTGCCTACATTGGGCCTCTGGGGTTTCCCCTTGCCTGTTCTCTGAGCCAGCCCTGTCAGCCTGAGGCCCGCCCAGCCTGGCCCTGTTCCTCCTCCCAGCCCTCCCCATCCTCCCTCGTAGGAAGCAGCTCCCGCGGGTCTGCTAAGGCCAGGGTTCCGCTGCTGACCCCAGGCCTGGGGGGCCATGGAGGTCAGGTGCTCCTGGGCAGGATGGGCCTCCTGGCCCCAGCTCCAGCCTTTAGCCTTTGTGTGTGGAGGCAGGGACCCCCCAGCTGCCTGGTGCAGTGGCACACGGTCTTTATAAACCACACGACAACTAGAAGCTGCAGGTGAGCAGAAGGTGGCTCCCCATCCACCCCTCCCCACCGCCTGCACCACCCCCCCGAGGGAGACATAGTTCACAACATCTTCTCTGACCGGGCCTGGGGTGATGCTGAGCGTGGCTGTGCAGATGCTGGGACCCTGGGACATGGCTCGGGAGCTCTGGGTCTTATTCTGGGGAGCAGGGGGCTCGTGGTGAGAAGCTAGGAAGGACCTGTGTTGAGAGCTGGGCTGCGGCCAGTGGCCAGCAACTGAGTTGCTATTAACACTAACGCAGTGATTCCCAGAGGCAGGTTCTGCCTCCTGAGTCCACACAGGGTTCCTTCAGGAAGCGGTGAATTTTCAAAGCTCCCAGGAATGCTGGGGACAGCCACGGGGTGCTGGCAGAGGGCCTGCGGCACTGTGGCAGCCTCGGCACCCCTTCCCGCTCCCCGGAGGGGCGGAACACTGCAGCCGACGAGGGTGGGGACTTGACCGGGCCCCCGCAGCCGGCGCTTGGCAGAGCTGGGTCCCGGCCCCCCCCAGGCTGCAGGCCTGGCTGAGCGCTCCTGGGGACTTGGGTGGCCGTGATGTCCAGTGCCAAGCACTGCACGGGTATCGTCCAGCGGACTCTCTTTGTCCCTCGAGACGCCTCTGCTTTAGGATTTGTAAAGCAGTCTGTCCACGTCCATCGCAGACGTTCGAGGCCCCCCCCAGCCCCCCCCCCCGAGAGAGCCATCCTAGGTGGCTGGGAGGCCACACCTGCATCCTCCTCCTCCACACGGATACTAACTTGGATAAGAATGGGACCTTGTTAGCCGCTGTCTCATAACTTGACCTTTCACCTGACACCACGAGTGCTGCCCTGTCGGCGCCTTCGCTGCCGCGGGTCCCAGAGCTGACACAGACTCACGGCCCTGCTGCCCGCGCTTTTAGCCATGGCCTCTGCTTAACGCTCCCCGCACCACCGCCGCCACGTTGTCCCCCGGGGGGGGGGTGGTGCGAGTCGCTGCCCCGGCCCTTGGGTGCTGCGGTCCCTGTTTGCTCCCCCACCCACGACCCTATGACGCGTGGCCGGCCGTGCACTGGCCAGCCCCAGAGCCCGCCGGTCTTGGCAGTCCGGCCCAGATATGACGGCCTCTCCCACCCCGCCAGGCTTTCGTTTCCTCGCGGGCTGCACGGCCGACTGGGTTTTGTGTTAGCTTAGCGGTCTGTGTTCTGCAACTTGCCTGTGTGTGTCCTTTGCCCATTTCCACAGTAAGATACTCCTCTTTTTATTTTTGATGTGTATGAGCTCAAAATGTCACGAATACTAACCGTTTGTCTTTTATGTGTATTACAGATATTTTTCCACTGTATTTGTCTTTTACCTGTGTTTTTTCTTTCTTGTACAAATTCTCTTTCTGATTGTAAAAGTAATATGTGGTTTTTTTTTTAGCATAGAAAGCCTGAAAATACAAAAAACAAAACAAAACCGTAAAGCCAAAGAAATAAACGTTGCTAACCGCATCACCTGGAGACGCATGCCTCCTGTTCTTCATTGTGTCCTGTTGAGTCTCTCGTGTGCGTCTGCTGTTTGAGTTTTTTAAACAATATTGGGTCCCTTGTCACGTAGGTGGTTCTATATGCCGAACATTCATGATGCGAGAACGTAGACTACACTAAAATGATGGTGGTGGGATTCAGGGTACTTTTCATTTATTATTTTTCTCTTTCTCTTGATTTGCAGTTTCTGATTTTACACAAAGGTCAGGTGCTGCTTATGTAAGCGGTAGATTGTAAGAATTGCCATTTGCTAGAGCGCAAAGGGACAAGGGGACCCCACCAGTGACCTGGGTGCAGGTGGCAGGACGGCAGGGCCCACTGTGGGACTGTGGCTCTCTGGCTGGCGAGCCCCTCCTTGAGCACAGAGCGCAGTTTGCTGCCCCCCCGCCCCAGTGTTCCTGGCCCCGTTTTCAGTGGGGCATCGGGCAGGGTCCTGGAGCCCCTTGGAGGTGGGGGAGTGGAGGTTCCTGGACTCAGGGTGGTCCTGCTGGTGTGCCGCCTGGCCCAGCCCTGTAGTCCCGTGGAGGTGTGAGTTCATCTCTGAAGATCCTCCAGCCTTGAGGCAGAGCGTGGGGCTGCTCCTCATGCAGGTCCTGGTTCCGCGTGGCCTCGTGGCAGAGCACAGCCTTGGTCCTGTGTCCTGGAGGTTCTTCTGGACGACTTCTAGGTCCCGGGGTGCTATGGGCTGGGGTGCTGGGTGGGGGGTGCTCTGTCAGTGGGAGGGTGCCGTGTGGGCCTGGGTGACAGACGTAGGGCCACGGGGTCCAAGTGCCACCAGCCTTCCTCCTGCAGGGTGGGGCTGTTCTCGCTGCTCTGCCAACGGGCTCCTGCCCCACACCGGCTTCCCCTTCTCCCAGGCCTCAGGTGTCCCCTCAGTCTGCTGTCCTCCCAGGCTCTGAGGCTGAGTGGGGCTGTGGATGCGCGGGGGCTCTGGCAGGTCGGGGACAGAGGTGAAAGCCGGGACTTGCCGAGGGAAGGGACCTGCACTGGCCGTAGTACCGGCAGGACAGCTGGGCAGCAGGCTGTCAAGGCCTCACCAAAAACTGCCCCCTGTCCTCCAGGGGTTTCTTAGCGTGGCCTAAGCAGAGTAGTGTGGCCGGGCATCCCACAGAGGCGAGGAGGGTTGTTAGGTGCATGTGGCAGAGGCCCCCTGGCCATCCCGGGGGCCAGAGTGTGCTTCGGAGTGAGCTGTGGCCACCCCCCCTCCCCCCACAGGGATGAGCCAGGAAAGGCAGTGTTTCTGCACGGGCGGGATCCGGGCCAGAGCCCCTCACCCGAGGCCCCCGTGTGAACAGTGCCGCTGGGTCTTATGAGGGCAGTTTGGTGAAAATCTGCATTCATCTGCACGGACACAGGGACACCAAAAAAGTGGTCTCCTCTCAGGGACACCAAACTCGGGGTGGGAGGGGCTGCTCCTTGGCCCTCCCTGAGCCCAGTGGACGCGTTTCTGTGGTGACATGACCAGAGACCACCCTGAACTTGGCAGAGTGGAATGCCAGTCTTGCCTGGGGCCCCCTGGACCTCCGGGAGCAGCCTGAGCAGGGCCCTAACCTTGCCACCCCAGTGTGCCCTGGCCTCCTGGATCCACCGTGGAGGGCGGTCACCGCAGGGCGGGCTAGGGCTCTGAGGCCATGCCCCGCAGGCCGTGCTGGGCTGGCTGGCTCCCCGCGCCCCAGCCACAGGCTCTCTGCTCCGTCGGGGAATCCAGAAGGCGGGGACTGGGCTGCTCGGGGGAAGCAGGCAGCCAGGCTGGGAGGGGAGTCCTGGAGAGGGACCCTCAGCAGGTCCGTTCAGGAGGCTGACTGGCTGCCTCTCACGCTGCCAGACCTCTCAGGCCTGGCTGCTGCTGCTGTCCCCAGGGCTATGCCACCCTGGCCTGATGGTTCTGTCTCTCCTCTTTCAGACGAGCCAAACTCAGGCTCTACCTGGAGCAGCTCAAGCAGCTGGTGCCCCTGGGCCCTGACAGTACACGCCACACCACGCTGAGCCTCCTCAAGCGGGCCAAGATGCACATCAAGGTGAGCAGGGGGTCCACTGGTCTGACGAGCTGCCTCAGCTGACCCCAGCCCGTCCCATACACCCCGGGGGAGTGACCAGGGGGCCTGAGGGGGGCCACCCAGCAGGTGTACCCTGGGGACCTCTGGGGGTCTCTGGTGGTAGGTGAGGGCACAGGGGATGCTTAGGGTGGAGGGGGTCACAAGCACTTGCTGGGGTTTATTGAGAGGTGGTGGGGGTAGGTGGTAGCCATGCTGGGCTGGGGGAGGTGAAGGGGGTTACAGATAGCCCCTGGGGCCCTGGGCTGTGAAGGACAGGTGGGGTCAAGAAGGGCAGGATGGGAAGCAGGCAGCCCAGGGGTGTTGGGAGGTTCTGGTTAGAGGGTGGAGTTGGTCTCCTGGGGCCGGCAGAGGGGGTGGATGGAGTGAGCCGTTGTCTGGGGTGGGCCCCCAAGGCCTCGAGACAGACCTGCTGGTTTGGTTTGCGGCGGTGGGGGGTGTCTTAGGACACTTGGGCCAACGAGGGTGGGTCTCCGTCCCCTTGAAGGACCCCTCAAAGCCTCTGAGCACAGGCAGCGACACCCCCAGGCAGGGTGTTTGGAGCTTGCAGAGAGGCATGGTCCATGCCCTGGGGCCTCCGGGAGCAGGCGGCTTCCCAGAGCAGAGTGCGGCCCTCAGGGACAGGGAGGGGGTGGGGGGATGTCAGCAGTATGGGGGACAGTGCGGGCAAGACCACCGAGGGCAGGCTGTCCTCCAGGAGGCAGCGCCAGCCCGGGGCCCACACGTGCCATGGGTCTTCCGGAGCTGGTCAGCAGATGCAGAGCACAGGCCCGGGAGGTGGCACCTGATGTAACCCCTGGCAGGGTGAGGGGGCTGCTCATCAGGCCTTTGGGCCCCGCGGGGCCAGCGGTGGGGGACGAGAACCTGCCCTGCCCAGGCCGCTGTGCCCCAGTTCCTGGTCCTGGTACAGGGGATGGTCCTCCTGCCTCCCACCGCTCATAGCTCCCCTGCCCCCAGAAACTGGAGGAGCAGGACCGCCGGGCACTGAGCATCAAGGAGCAGCTGCAGCGGGAACACCGCTTCCTGAAGCGGCGCCTGGAGCAGCTGTCCATGCAGAGTCTGGAACGCGTACGCACGGACAGCACGGGCTCCGCCGTCTCCACTGATGACTCAGAGCAAGGTGGGGACATGGGAGCAGCCGGGCGGGAAGCTGGGAGGGTGGGGTCGGCTGAGGAAGGTAGGGAGGGCAGCAGATGTGTGCGAGCGCTGGCAGCGGACGTGGCGGAACAGGGCGGGACGAGGCGGGACGAGGCGGGACGTGGCGGGACGTGGCGGGACGAGGCGGGACGAGGCGGGACGTGGCGGGACGTGGCGGGACGGGGCGGGACGGGGCAGGACGGGGCGGGAGAGGCGGGTGAGGCACGGAGGGCAGCTGGTCTGTGCTCCAGGCCCCGCATGCCTCACCAAGCTGCAGGCCCGGAGCCCCGTGCTTCCCCCCACACCCCCACCCCTGGAGCCTGGAGCCTCTGCTGCCTCCACGAAGGGCGGAGATGAGCCCTGACTTTGAAGGGAGCCCCGGTTGGCACCTCAGTTTCTGATCCTGCCTCCTCTGTTCTCCCCAGAAGTGGACGTAGAGGGCATGGAGTTTGGCCCTGGTGAGCTGGACAGTGTTGGCAGCAGCAGTGACGTGGACGACCACTACAGCCTGCAGAGTGGTGGCTGCAGCGACGGGGGCTACGGGCCCCCCTGCCGGCGGCCTGGCCGCCCCGGCCTCTCGTAGGCCCCGTGCCCTCTGCTCCTTGGCCCGCCTGCCTACCCGGCCAAGCGTGCCAGCCCTCCAGTCCTCGAAAGCCTCTCCGCGGGCCCGCCGCTGTGCCATTCTGGAAGCTCCAGCTGCCGCCCGGGCTGCCCGCCTCCGCCCGCCTGCCGGTCAGGGCCTGCCGTGCCGCCCACCCCTCCCAGCTGGGCAGGGACCCCTGCAGGGAGACGGGGCCCAGCTCCCACATCCCGGAGCCCAGCGTAGCCGCCCACGGTCTGTTCTCAGATTTCTAATCATTCCAGAAGTATTAAATATCATTGCTGCAAATCTCGGCGGGCACCGTGTGAGGGGCTTAATGACCACTGCGGGGAGCTCAGACCCCAACCCTGGATCCCAGGAGAAAGGAGTGGACCGAGGAAGGAAGGAAGGCGTGGCTCTCCGTCCATCTGTCCATCTGTCTGTCAGTCCACGTAGGCTCCTGAGGCCTGGACAGAGGGACCCATGAAGGGCGGGACTCGGGTGAGCACCCTGGGGCAAGTGGGTGGAGAGGGCCCTTTGCACCCCACAGGTGTCAGGAGCCAGGGCTGGGCTCCTGGGGGCAGGCCAGGCCACCCCATCCCAAGTTGGGCAGCTTCTGCTCTGTTAGGTCCCTCAGATGTACACATGCACACGCCTAGGCACACGTGCCCATACGCACACGTGCACACACGCAGACACACGTGGTCACTGGACCCAGAGGCTACACACTTGGGGAGGTAGGCCTTCAAGGGTCATCTGGGCACATGCTGGCCCCTGGCCTGTGCTTGGCTCCTCGTCCCACCCCGGCTCACCTGTGGGGCAGGGGGCTCCGCCTCCCAGCCGGGGCCGAGGTGCGCTGGGGGCGGCAGCTCGAAGCCACGGAGTCCTCAGGAGGCTTTCTCATCTACCTTTAAAAATAAAATAAATTGCTGCACTGCCCAGCAGCCCAGGACAGGGCTCCTGGGAGAGAGGCTTTTTCCCCAAAATGAGAGAAACATTTTTAAAAGAGAAAAAAGCTCTGAGGACTCCCCGCCAAGTGACATCAGCGTGTGCTGCCTCAATTTCCTGTACGAGATTTTTGTACTCTATTTTCCTAGCCGTTGTTGTGTCCTTGTTTGCTGAGGGGTGGGAGCGACCCCGCGTCTCAGGGACTCGCCTTGTCTGTCACCGTCGTCCAAGTGTGCCTTGTGTCCCGTGTCTGGCCCCGCCCCCTCCACCACCACCAGCATCTCCCTCGTGGCTCGGGGCACCCCGGCCGGCCCCGCAGGTGCCCTCCCAGCTTCCTCCCTGCGCTGCAGCCCCTCCCAGCAGCCACAGCTTTCTGGGAGTGAGAGACTGCGGGACCGGCCGGGGCTTGTGTGGGCAGCTCTCTGTCACCGGCTGCCCCGGTGAGACCCAGCGCCCCCCCGCCCCCCGTCTTGCCCTCCCCAGGGGTCGGTCGGGGCCTGCCGGGCAGCCTGGCCTCCTGGTCAGGGGCCTGCTCACCAGAGAAATAGTTCTCCCCTGTACCCATCTTGACCCTTCCCTGCTCCCCCAGCCTGGGGCGAGAGCTCCAGATTTCAGACATTGGCAGCTGACGAAGACAGCCCTCCGCCCCGGGTAGCCAGGCCTGGGCTTCAGGAGGCTTCTCCTGGCCTTTTGTTTCTGAAGAGTCCTTGTCTGCACAGCAATATTTGGGTGGCGTGCTGTGGGGCTGGCCCACAGCTGCGTCGCCTTCCCTCTCTGGGGCATTGTAACCAGTTTCCAGATTGTGGGGGAAAGTTCATGTTTATTTTCGGTCAAGCCGACGGACACCCCAGGGTCGGTGGCCTACTGGGGCAGAACGGGGTCCCTGGGAACAGCTCTGGCACAGAACCTGCCCTGCAGGGGCTCAGGATGATGAGTGGAGAGCAGGCTTTTGGGAGGCAGTGCGTGAACTGGGGAGACTGTCCAAACATCTTGCTGGTGGTTGCAAGGAAAACTATTCTGTCAGCATCTCCTTCCAGCCTCACTGGGGGGGCCTGCGGTGCCCAGACTAGCTCGTCCTGTCTGCCTGAGCATGCCACACAGTGCTGCTTGTGAGCACCAGCCCGCTCTGAGCAGGGTAGGAGGGCCTGAGTTGAAGATCCCGCTGCAGGAGACCTGGGATGGTCTGTGCTCTCCGTTCTTAAAGCACCAGCTCCCCCGGTAGCTGGGGGCTCTGCTCCCACCCTAGCCAGCAGAATCCTCCCTGGGTGACCCAACTGTGGCCCTCAGCTGACCTTCCTGGCAGCTCAGCCCGTGGCTTTTCAGGCCATGGTTCCCATGTGGGCCGGGGGCCCCTCTCTGCCACCAGCAGACAGGTGAGGGGGTGGTCCTCAGGGCCAGGGTCTGGTGCTAGCAGTTACTCACACATCCATTCTCCCCTCCCACTAGCCCCCTGCCTTTTGCACAGGTTAGCTGTTGCTGGTGGCCACAGAGACCCAGCGGGGGCCTGGTTTGAGGCCACGTTGGATAACTGAGCATCGTTGAGTCTCTAGAAAGCGGATGGGACCAGAACAGGTCTGCAGGGGTGTGTGTGACCTCTATCCATATGCCCTCCCACACCTATGTGGGCCACTGTGGCCCTCAGCCAGGATCCTGGAACCCCAGGCTCAGGTTTGGGTCCCCACCCTCACTGGGAGGTGACCCCATACACCAGGCCACCACTGCCCCACTGCGGACCCAGCTGGCTGGGGAGACTGCAAGAAGGCTTCTTCTCCTTGGAGCTCTGGGCCCGCCTCTGTAGTTTGGGTCTTGGAGGCCCAGTGCCCAAGCCTGCCCTCTTGGGCTGATGGAGCTGTGTGCCCAACCACAGTCCTGTGGGCTTCTGCCCTCCTGTCTGCCCCAGACAATCCCCATCTGCTGAGTGAGGCAGGCTTCCCCGGCTCTCTCACCCCCTGCCTCTCTCTGGGCCAGCTAACCTGGGGCCCCCTCCCCATGGCCATGTACACAGAACTCTGACCCTGGGCCACATCTAGGGCAGGTTCTTTGCCAGAGTCTGGGGCTGCCCAGGGGTCCAGGTCAGCGCATCACAACATCCTTGCTGGAGAGAATTGGGCCACCCACCTGCCTGTTCACCGGGAGGGACTGTGCTGTACCATTCTGTCTTTGTAATATAAATACAGATTTTTATACCTCACCCCTCTGGCTTCCAGTTCTTTCCGTCACCATATTTGGCTTCCCTCCCCTCGGCCTCCATAGGGAGCCTGAGCCCACCGGTGACCTTGGCAGCCTTCACTGCCCTGCCCACAGCTTCTGCTTTCAGGGAGGCCCAACATACCATGGCCCTTCCCCACTGCCAACCGGCTACCATGGAGATGCCACCGTCGCGGCTGCCTCCCTGGATGGTCACACCTGGAGTTGAATGAAAGTGGAACCCCACCCCACCCCCGCCAACTGCCAACCAGATACTCTTGGCTGCGGGCATTCCTACTTTGCTTCTGGCCCTGGGGCTGGGGCTGGGGCACTGTCTCAGGAGGACAGGTTGGCCCTTGGAGTGGTTGGTCTTAGGGTGGATAGCGGGTGTTCTCAGCCAGGTGCCCTTTCCACACAGCTGTAGTTGGCTGTCAGGATGCACCTTGAGAAACCTTCCTTGGACCTGTCCTCAGCATCTCCAGAATGTCCCAGGCATGGCCTCTGCCTACTGCTGTGCAGGGTGAGGGTGTGCAATGGTGTGGCCCCAGCACAAGGCAACTAGGGGACAAAATGCTTGGGTCGTGGGGAGTTGGGTAGCCAGAACAGGACTTTTCTGGGGCTCCCCAGGGCGCCACAGCACACTGGAGACGGCTCAGTGATTCCCTCTAGCAGGTTCTGGGGTGTCTGGGAGAGAACCTGCAGGGACCTCCTCCCTCGCCCAGCAGGCTGCAGCACTCACCTCTTGAACCTGGGTGAGTCCTCCTGGGGGGCACCTCTGGAAAACAAGGGAATTCCTACTGGGAATGCAGCTGGGGCTTGGGGTGTGAATGTAAATGAGCAGCTTTTGAATTCCAAATATTGCTAGGGCTTCAAATCACCACCAACCTTTTATGGACCTCACAAGGGCTCCAGCAGCTGGGCTAAGCACTTTGTGAAGTCAGAGCCTGCTGTCCTCATGCTGGGCCCATCTCAAAGACAGAAAACTGAGGCTCAGAGAAGGTACCCACCTTCCCCGAGTCACCCACTGAGCCAGGGGGGCCTGGGATGGGACCCTGGTCCTCAGGGAAACCCCTCCTGCCATCAGAGTCCATCTCCATATTCAGCCTGGCTTACAGGCAGTGCCCCTCAAGGGGGACACCTGCCTCCATGTCCACCCTTCTGCCCAAGCTCTTCTTGGTAGGCAGAAGGGCTTCAGGGGGTCTTGTTGTCTGCCCCAGAACGAATCCCAGGTGCCTGCTTTCTCCCCATCTGCTCCTGCACCTTCGCGGCTCGCTTCCCTCTCCCACCCTTGCTTCCCTCCGTCCCTACGCACTCACCAGCCCCCCAGCTCCCAGCTCAGCTCTGTGACCTGCTCCTATGCCCCTTCCCATCACACTTCTGCCAGGATCAGGCCCCCAAAATTGGGTGGCAAGGCCCTTTCCGTGCTGTTTCCTTTCCTCGGTTCCCAGTCCCTAGCTGGGCCAGGCCCCCAGTGCATGCTAAGCCTGCATGAGAATCTTTCCAGAATGTAAATGGGATTATGCCACTTGCCCGTTTAGCTCGCAGGGGCTCCCAACTGCCTCCTCATTGCTTTCTGCCTCCTCAGCCTGTCTTGAGGGCCTCCATGAGCCCCCAAGCCCCCCTACCAGGCCCTTCACTGCCTCCTTCCTCTGAGCCCTTTTACCCCCAAACTCTCCCCATCTGCAATCGAACTATCTTGGTGAGCTCCTGACCCCAACCTGCTCCTGAGATTTTACTTTTGTTGCGTGAATATCAATGTGATGGAAGACAAAAATCACTTTCTTCCCACCCTCTTCCTTGATACCCTATGCTTTGTTCTGACTAGGCGGGATTTATAGGAAGAATAGAAAGAAGTGTCACTTTCTTGCTCTGCTGGAAGCTGAGAGTCATCCCGTCTCTGGCCCTCCTGGCTACGGGGTTCTGCCCTCAAGGCTGCGCTCTGCCCCTCCAGGACCCAGCTTGCGCCTCCTCTCCCCCTTGGTAGGCAGAAGGGCTTCAGGGGGTCTTGTTGTCCGCCCCCCCGCCACACCCTCCAGAACAAATCCCAGGTGCCTGCTTTCTCCCCATCCACTCCTGCACCTTCGCAGCTCGCTTCCCTCTCCCACCCTTGCTTCCCTCCATCACGGGAGTCTCCCTGCATCTGTCTCTGGCCACCTTTTTGTCACTTTTGTCGCTGAGAATGTCACTCCTCTGCCTGGAAAAGCCCCCCACTCCTCTTATTGCTTGAAGAATGGAGTCCCACCAGTACCAAAAACAGCATCGAAGAACAAATGATCCTTAACATCAGACTTCCGGTTAGACATATCTAAAAACATATTGTCTAGAACCTAAAATACTTGTTAGTATCAGCAGGAGAAAAAAGATTCCTACAGGAAGGAGAAGAGAAAAAGCAATCAGCGAGCCCACTTGCGGCTCACAGCTGTGCGAGGAGGCCTGCCTTCTCATGGGCTTCCTCAAGGAAGGCTCATCTGTGGGTTCATCTTTTGACTCTGTAAGGACCCCAACTAAGACCCCGAATGATTTTGACTGGAGGAGAGAAATCTTGTGTTGAAAGTAAGTGTAACCTATTTGCTTCTTAAATCCCAAATGCAACCTGACCCTAATAAATCGAGTTTTCAAAGAAAGCTTCTGGGGGCTGCATGATTAAACCTGTTGTGTGTTGCTCTCGGAGCTAAGAATATTGTGGTTTCTACTTCATGTCTTTATGGCTTTTTTTGGTCCCACAAACATCTTTCAAACAAATAACCACGGTCAGCAATTCAAAATCATACGGAGAATTTGTGGGCCCAGGAAATGACCCAGGAGTCTCGAGGAAATGTGGGATTCTAGAACAGCTCCCTATCCCTCACCCTCCTGTCCCACGGGGATCTTTCCAAAAAGCAGCCCCTTTTCTTTCTTCTCCTCTTTTCTAAGTTCCTCTTCGCAGTCTATAAACATCCCCAAGTTCCTCTCACCTGAAAACAAAACAAACCCAAACCCTCTCCCCACCCCACCCCACATTCTCACCCCCTCATCTTGTGTCACCCTGCTCCTCTCTCTCCCCCTCAGCCTTTGCCTCCTCAGCAAAACATCCTGAAGGCGCTGTCTGCACAGCTTCTACCACCCCCAGGGGCAGTGGCCAAGAGGAGTCCTCCTGGTCCATGGGCTCCAACCTTGCCTCCCAGCTCACCAGTTGCTTTCCTGGGCCAGCCCCAGCTTGTTTCAGGCGGGGTACCAATCTGTGAGTTTTTTCCCCTGTAATGTTTGCTTTTCAGATCATTGTAGGCTTTATTGTCTCTTAGAAGAGGAAAATAAAAAAGGAAAACAAATGAAGGATTAATAAGTATCTTTCCCTCAAGATGAATCCATGATTTCTGCTTTAGACCATTCTTTTTTTTCTCCCCTAAAAATATTAAGAAAAGTTATCCAGAAAGACTTCTACCCTTCCAATGTCCCACGAGACTAGTTCGTCTCCCACAAGCCACCTTCGTGTCATTTGATGCTGGGGGTGGAAGGAGAACCGACTTTGGAGTAAGGAAGGGTGAGTCTGTAGAGGACCGGTGAGGGGGAAATGAGTCTGTCCGGTAGAGATGCGAGCTACCGCCGCCTGATACCGGATACCGAGGGCAGCCCCGCAGGTGTGGCTGCTCTGGGCTGTAGGGCATCCGCCAGGTGTGCACGGACTGCGCAGCCTTAGTACAGCTGTCGCCCGCTCATGGACTGACCACCCGTGTCCTGGGTGTGGCACCCTCCTTGGAAAGTGTTCCCTCTTGACTTACATACCTCTTCCACACGTACCACGTATGTTCCTATATTTTCAACTTTTTACAAGTTATATTTTGTATATATATATAGACATATATATATATACCCACATACACCACCTGGGTGGCTCAGTCGCTTAACGGTCTGCCTTCTGCTCAGTCATGATCCCAGGGTGCCCAGTTCGAGAGACCCGCATCGGGCTCCCTGCTCAGCGAGGAGTCTGCTTCTCTCTCTGCCTCTCCCCGTCCCCCCTGCTCATACTCTCTCTCTCTCAAATAAATGAATAAAATCTTTTTTTTAAATTATATTTTGAAAATGGGATTGTGAAGGAAGTCGGCTTTTGCTTAGTGGTCAGGTGAGGGCTTGCGGATTGCGTGCTTTGCAAAACAACGTTCAACGCAAAAGCTTGTAAAGCGAGTAATGATAGCTGAGCCTAAAGACGCGCCAGACGCTGCTCGGCTCGTTCTGGGTCCCGTAGTTCGTCTGCTCCCAAGACTTGTCGAAGGGGCGCGCTCACTGAAACAGGTCCTGGCGGTGCAGAGCCCACCGGCCGGACGACCCCGGGCCGCGGCCAGGCGAGCTCCGGGCGTGTTCCTGACCGCACCCGGCTTTCCCTGAAAACGGCCTCGTTAGAGGATGGGGGTCTGGGGAACCGGAGGGCAGGACCGAGAGCCGGCCTGAGCCAAGGAGCTCGTCCAGGCACAGCGCACCGCCGCAGGATATAGGGCGCTAAGACCCGACCCGCACCCGAGATCCTCACCGGGCCTGGCGTACCCCGGCCCCGCCCCCGAGGCGGGAGCCAACCAGCTCGCCCCCACCGGTTGTCGTTTGGCCGGGGGGCGGACCGGCGCCCTGCTCAGCTCCGCCCCAAAGTTCCTCCCCCCCACGCCCGCCTCTTCCGACACCACGCCTGCGCAGACGGTCAAGCCACGCCCCGCCTCTGCCCTCTGCGCGCGCAGCGCTCCCGTGAGGCAGTGCGAGGCGCGGAGCGCGGCGGCGGGTTTCTGAGGCGTGCGAACGGAGCTTCCAGAGGTAAAAGGCGCCAGCCTCTCCGTGGGGCTGTGGGAGCGGCGACGGTCCCCCGGCTGCCTCTTCTTTCCAGGCACCCCTGGGGACTCCTTTCAGGCGCGCGAGTCGGGGTCCTCAGGGCTTGGAGCCACGGGCGAGGGCGGGGAGTGCGAAGGCAAGTGGGAGGTGGGCGTCAGCGGGGAGCGCGGCGAGGGTGAGGGAGGCGCAGTCCGGTGGGGGGCGGGACGGGGGCTGGGCTGATGCGGGTAGGACGGGGCTGGGGGGAGCAGGGTAGGGCCGCGGGCGGGGCCTCCCGGGCGGGGCCTCCCGGGCGGGGCCGGTGCTGGTCCTG